TTCCACCTTCTCAATTGTCTTGGCCAGCCTTGGACACGTGGTCAGAACTTGAACTTTCAGGAAAAGATACATTGGGTCCTCTGCCTCTGCCTTTCTGTTTTCCTGTGTGGACAGGGGACGTGCAGGAAGGCTGTGGAATACATGTGAGGCCTGGCGTCCCAGGGCCTGGTACAGTGCTCATCCACTCAGGGTTCTCATTTATCTGACTCTCTCTCACAGAATGTCAAAGAGTAAGTGGCCAGTCCCACTTAGAGGAACCCACAGAAGCCCTTGTCATTAAAACAAGGAAACTGAAGGCTTTTATAAGCTTGTTACGCTTCTGTGCCCATGAGACATGATCAGAATGTGTTTCATAAATCTCAAGGCCCAGTGCACCCTGAACAAATACATCCTTCTTACTCATAAAAAGCTTTCAATCCAAGACCCAGTCCAGTTCATCTAGGCTCAACCATCACCAACAGCTTTGGTCTAAACAGCCTGAAGGGTCCAAGAGAGAAAGGCACAGAAACTTCTATATAGAGATGCACTGTTGGGGGCATTGCACCAGAACCTGGGTCTAACTTGAGTCAAGTACTGACCTCAGAGCCCTTCCTCAGCAGCTGGGAGGTTCTGATACAAAGACAGATGGCCCTTCTTAGACATACTGTATGGGTCTACGGCCATACCACCCTGAACGTGCCCGATCTCGTCTGATCTCGGAAGCTAAGCAGGGTTGGGCCTGGTTAGTACTTGGATGGGAGACAAACTGTATGGACACAGGGTAGGTGGCTTGGTGCATTATCTATAACTTCTCACTGTATGTCAGTGGTCCCTCATGCTTTGGGGATCACACGTCCTTTAATTACTTATTAAAATCTATACACCTTCTCTGCCGAGAAGCAGCGGTATGTGAGCAGATATTCCATGCTGCCTACCATTTCGAGCTGTCGATGGCTTTGAAAGTCAATGGGCCCCAGATCCATAGAAAATGGACTCTGCCTTAGGGCTTCCAAAAAGGAACTCAGGTCTGTGGACAGGATTTTAACCCAAAAGCTCCGTTCAGACTTCTGCACGCCAGACACAAAAGCACATGAAGACGTGTCATTTTAAGCCATCAAATGACAACAGGTGTTGGCCTGTGGGGAACTTCTGGAACCTTCCCAATGATTGGGAGGCGGGGGTGAGGAGGTTCTAGCAAGCCTGAGCACGGCAAACATTGCAGACAGCTTTTACCTTTTCACCCCCTTCCCTTTCCCTTGCTAAAACGTACAGTCGGAAAGCTAGTCCCCAAGGTCTATGGAGTCCCTTATTTGGCCACTGACTCATTCCTAAGACTGAACATCAAGCTCCAACCATCACAATGCATTAATATGTCCAGGTAGATTCCCCAGCCCACCCTTGCACAGACCCCGCCCCTTTCCCCTTAAAAGCCGGCTCCTGCAGAAACGCCCACTTGCTCTCTTGCTGGACCACACGCTTGCCCGCTCACTTGCTAGCATGCTTGCCTGCCTGCTGCTGCTGCAGCCTTTGCGGCCTCCCCCAACCCCACTAGTCCCTCCAGGGTAATAATTTTCCTTTGTTGTCTGGGTGTGTCCTGTACTGATTCTGGGGGCCGACCTCCCTTTCTCAGGGAGCAAGCATTGTTATCAAAAGTCAGTGTTGATCCCTGTAAGCAAAGACATGGGCCACCACAAGCTCCAGGGGTGGGTGATAGCCAGCTGTGGATGATGCCCCTGCCAACAGGAGCTACACTCTCGTATGTTAGGGGTAACAGGGTAACACACATGTCACGTGTCCCACTGAAGCTTTAAGTCCCCCGCAGCCCCACAGGACCAGGCAGCAGCCTGACTTCCCAAAGCAAACTGGGATTGTATAAGCCTCAAAGAAGAGGCGGGTGGGGGGGTGTTCCTAAAAGCATCCTTGTGGCATTATTAAAATTCTGTGTTCAGTAGGCAATGAGACACCATTTTGAATTTCCGCCCTCCGTTCCCTATAAAGGGGGACTCTCTGGGGGGCAACTGTCTCATGGTTGAGGATCTGCCTGGCCCTGGGAACACTGGTCTTGTGGAGACTCCCACTGGAGGGGACAGTAGAGGAAGAGGAATGGACATACACATCCCCCTCCATGCTCTTAGAGCTTGTCTCTGAAAGAAATGAATTAATATCCACAGTCAAAGGAACATTATATAATTTGTGCTTTTTCCCTGGGGATCCAACGCGCAAAGAGGGATGTGTGTGTGTGTGTGTGTGTGTGGTGTGTCATACAGAGGTATTTTGTAGACAGAAAGTACATGAAAACACTTAGACCTTGACACATTCTTTGCTGTAAGTCTGTGTAATGGTTTCCATTTGTAACCCACACAGACTGAGCATGGAAAGACAAAACTGATCACAGCTACACGTCTGGAGGTGGCAGTGGTCATAGTGAACGGATTGACCTAGGACACTTCATAGTTATCTACAAATAGAGGAAGTGGTTTCAATTTGAATCCCATCCAAAGAACCACCCCCCCCCACTGTGAGCGCCCTAGCCTCATCCTTCACAGTGTTCTCTGACCCCCAAAGAGAAAACGCCATCCTGAAGAAGTCTTTTTGCCCTGGGACCATTCTGCTGCTTTCACCCCAACTCAGGAAGCTCCTAACACCCCGGGGCTTCGATCTGTGCGGTGACAACTTACCTTCAAACCCTCTCTCAACCCCTGCCCAGGGAGCTTCGCCCGGGTCACCAGAGGCCAGGCACCTCTTCCCTCCGCACTTTCTAGAGCTGTTGGAGCATATTGGACTTTCTAAAATATTTACATATGGGAGAAGACAGTTAACAAGAGTCCTCGTCTCTTTCTCCACCGTGAGTCCCAGGGGGGAACCTCAGGTCATCACATGTGGCAACAAGTGCCTTTACCAGATTCCTTCAAGCCCCTGTCCTGGCCAGTTTACTGTCAGCCGGACATAAGTTAGAGTTATCAAGCGAGAGGGAAACATAAGACTGGTCTATAAGCAAGTTTGTGGGGGCATTTTCTTAGTTAGAGATCGATGTGGAGGGTGCAGACCGTTGCGGGTAGTGCCGCCTCTGGGCAGGTCCTGGGGTATAAAGAAGCAGGCTGAGGAAGCCATGCGGAGCAGGTCGATACATGCCATACTTCCTCGGCCTCGGTTTCAGAACCTCTTCTCTTGGTGATGGGCTGTAACCTGGAAGCCAACTAAACCCTTTCCTCCCCAAGTTACTCATGATCATGGTGTTTTCACCCCAACAATAGAGACACCCTAGCCTAGGTAAAACTGTCCCTTTAACACCCCCAGAGAGCAAGATACCATGGTTTCCCTTCTGCTGCCAAAAGAGGGTGTATGTGAGACAGTGAAACAGAGAAACAGAATGCACAACAGTCCCAGGGAGAAGGGGGGAGGGGCTCCATGATCCCTTGACACTATCTCTGCGGGCTAATCTAGCAGGTGAAAAACGGAACGGGTGACCTTGGGACACAGGTTCTGGGCACGTGGGGACAGCCCTGAGGCTGGGTCACACTGGGCTGAACCATTCCAAACTTCTGTCCTACAATGCCAAATTCAAAGTGAGCTCAAATCCACCCCCACCCCTCCGGTGGGGGGAAGCTTCGGATGCCTGGTGACACATTTGGAGCCGCTGATAACTGCTTTTCGGAATTCCTACTCAGCTTTTAGAAAGGGAAGTACGAGTATTTATAGCTGCGAGTGAACAATTTCCTATGGCTCTGCCCTCTGCCCAGCTGTACCTCGGCCAAGTTTGCGCAATGCCCTCCTCACCCAGCTCTCAGCGTGGCAGCCTGGGAGACTGGGCCACAGCGGACGGAGCCTTGCCAAGTCAGGCACAATAACCACACAAGCCATCAGGCTGGAATCCCCAAGCACATAGAAGCCAAGTTACAAAGACTGACCTAGCCCTATCTGCAGCTCAAGGGCCCGGGAAGGGAGAGGCCACACACCCTCCTTTCAGCTTTAGTGGGAAATGCAGCCTGGCCTCCCCACCAGCCCCCAGCAGAGGGCTTTGAACACAACCCAAGCACTTCTCGAATTGTGGTTCTCAAGCCCTGAGGTGGACAGTGGAGACCCTACTGGCTTGCTCTGTGCAGAGAGGAACTGAGCACTCTTGGCTTCCCAGAATAATGCAGCTGGCTGGGGACAGACTCTGGGGGAGCCATACCTGCTAACGCCTAGCCCTGAGCTCCTGTCCATCCCTTTCCCCCTTCCCTCCGGAGACTGTGTCTCCTGTGGACGCTGTCACTGACCAACTTGCTGAGCTCACCACAGCGGGCACGTTTTGTAGCTTACATTCTCACAACTCCCCTCTGTCAGAGAACACAGTCGGCAACAGTTACTAAGACAGAGAGAACAGGGGTGCAAAGCCTGATCTAAAATAAGGGAATAAGAACAACGACGACGAAAGAACAGAAAAAGAACCAACAAAGTAAAATTAGAACTACCATTTGACCTATCTATAGCCAGAAGAATCTAAATCAGGCCTGGCACCAAGATGCTTTCACACCCCTGTGTACAATATTTGGGTTATAGAATCAGTCTAGATACCCACCACCAGACAAATGGATGCTAAGAGTGGGGTATGTTTACACAATGGGGCATAAGTTATAAAAAAAAATGATGATGGTGTCATTTGCAGGAAAACCGATGGAATTTGCGATTCACCTTTTTGAGCAATATAAACCAGACTTGGAAAGTCAAAGATGACATGTATATGGATTCGAGACTTTTTATGTCTGTACAAACAGAAGAGGGGCTATGTGTTGAGGAGGAAGGAGACCAGTGGGAGGAGAGGAGGAGAGACGAAAGGGGGCAATGGAAAGGGACTATATGGCCAAAGCATGACTGTCACTATGTCATCAGGAAGCCTATTACTTTGTGCTATAGTTAAAAAAACTCATCCATTGTGCCTAAAGTTCTTCTGACCAAATCACAGAGAGGAAAATGGTTCCCTGGACTCCTGAGATCGAGGTCTCACCCAGAAATAGCATGAAGGAAAGCAAGGACACTACCTCATGGCCACATTGCTGCCATCGATCACTATGGGCCGCAGGGAGCTGGCTGGGTCTCCACCAGCCTCTTCCAGGCCGGGTCCCAGGCCCTGCTGGGCAGAGTCCCGGATCCCGCAGCTTCCCCGGGGTGTCAGCACTATCCCGGTGCTGTTGGCTGGATCCTCCTGGGCCCTTGGGCGGCTACCGGTCTGGATCAACTCCTGCAGCACATCGTTGACCAATGCACTATCGCCCAGTTTGCCCAGCACCCTGACCACGTCGTCCTGGCTGTAGCCCAGTTTCTGGAAAAACTCCATCTTGTTCCGGCGCTCCATATCGTGCCAACTGTTGCCTGGCACGGCTCCTGCCCTGGGCTTCCTCCAAGCAGAGCTGCACAGGCATGAGCTAAAAAGAAAAAGCAGTAGTCAGGTGTTTGCTGAGCAGCCTGGCAGCGGGGCCACTGGGTGAGGAGGGCATGCTGTGTGCGCTCCTCCCTCCTGGCGCTAGCTGTCAGGAAATCACGCCTTGCCTGGTCCCCTTGGGGATTTTCAGTCGCTTGGTGTGGCTTGCCAGCCACAGATGCAATCACGCTTCTTTTACTAGCGTGTTCTCTGAGCCCTTTGGTCCCGAGTGCCGTGCAGGGAACACTGGCCAGGGCCCAGGGGGGCCGGGGCTGAGTAGGGCACCAAGTCAGGGAAATCTATTTAGAGACTCTCTGTTAGGAGCGAGATGGTATCCACCCAGATTTCTGTACTGAAGTGCTTAGCACCAATACCTCAGACTGTATTTAGAGACAGGGCCTTTCAAATCAGGCCCTTGGGGGCATACCTTCACCTTGCAATAGTTGTTCCACAAGAGGAGGCAAGGCACTCTAGACCGGACACTCACACACACACACACACACACACACACACACACACACACACACACACACACACACGACCTTAGGAGGGTGAAGGGACTGCTTGGGGAGCCAGGTCTAGGAAGGATCCAACATCACTGACTCTGATCCCGAACTTGCAGCAGTGATGTTCAATTGTGTCAGCCTTCATTTGCCAAGACTGTTGTAGCAGACCTGGCAGGCAGTCTAGGCTGCTGGCTCACTCCCAGGGAGAACAGTCACAGAAGAGGGCCCCTCCCAGAAAGGCAAGGCTACCCAGGAATTCAATTCTGCACTCTGGCTCCATTTACATTCAGATCACACGGAACCTTGAAAAGAAAGGGTCCTGACTCAAATTTGGCTCTTCCTGTGGGGGCATCAGGCATGGCCTCCCTGTGTGGCGGGTGACAAGGAAGGGACTATGCCTGACAGATGTGTTCAAAAGGAGAAAATGAGAATATTCAGGACACATTGGGTCTCTGTGCTAGTCACATAAACAAACAAACTCGACAACCTTTAAAAATGTCTTAAAATGTAGAAATAAACTTGAAGACGTAGTTACTGTGCAAGAGTCAAACAACGGAGAAGTAGAAGGAAGGTATAATACACAGCCCACTCCCCCTCACTCTCACCCCCTACTGCCCCTCACTCCACCCTCCATCCCCCCTCACGACCCCCCACTCTCAGTGCTTCCTGTGCTGACCATGGGCCTCCATCTCTCCAGCACTTTCTCTGAGCACCTACTTGCATATTAGTGGAGTATTGTTTCTGGTTTTTTTTTTTGCATGCACGACACCATGCTGTATGTTAGCAGCTTGCTTTTCTCCTTGAAAACACGTCTTGAGCATCTTTTCCAGCCAGTTTCTTGGGTCTGCCCACTGCATGCCCAGCATCAAATTTGATGATGGATGGATGGATGGATGGATGGATGGATGGATGGATAGAAGGATGGATGGATGGATGAATGGATGGATAGGTGGATGGATAGATGGATGGATGGATGGATGCATGCATGGATGGGTGGGTGGGTGGGCAAATGGTGTTCTTTAGGGCTAACCATATGCCAAATGATAGAAACGTAGTTGTCTTGTATTTTCCGGCTGCAGATCCTGCTGGTTGAAGATTCTTGCACATTCTCCTTTCACCCCACCCCCCCCTCCCAGTGCTGTGGATTCCTTATTTTTCTATCCCATTCTCCCGTATGACTCTCTTACAGCATGTCTACAGCCCTTTCCATGCAGGGCAAGAAAAAGGACAGAGTTAACGAGGCCAGAGCCTGCCAGGTGCAACGCATTTCAAACACAGCCTTCTAGGTGGCAGCAAGGCATTGTGGCCACCCAGACATGCTCACCTCCCACTCCAACTCTGTCCAAGCTCATCTGACTTGGCCCCAGCCCTGTGTTTCTAACACAATCTGACCATATTTCCCTCTGCTTAAAAAGATGCTCTACTGCAGCCCCTGGTGACTATAGAAGAGCTGCCAAGTTCCTGGGCAACCAGAACACACCCAGTGGCTGTGGCCCCAGCCACCCCACCAGTGGTTCATCTAATCCTTAGGGTGAAATGAGTCTCTCCCCCATATCTAAATATTCCAGGATGCTCTCACACACATGCTTGTCACTCTGGGGTTTGCCAAACTTTAAATTTCAATTCACACAGCACTCAGAGGGATCCTCCCGGATTCTACAGATCTAAAGAGAGCTTGGTCATGCCACCCACCACAATGCACCACCACCTTTGGGATGGTTGCACATGAGTTATCATTTATTTTCCTCATGAAACTCAATTGTTCTGACCTGTCTATTTCAGGGTCACCATTACTTAGTGCGGCACCTGGCAGAATTGAGGAGTTCAATTGACCATATATTTATTTATTTAGGTTTTTTGAGGCAGGGTTTCTCTGGCTGTCCTGGAACTCAATCTGTAGACCAGGCTGGCCTCAAACTCACAAATATCCACCTGCCTCAGTCTCCCGAGTGCCAGCATTAAAGGGGTGCACCACCATGGTCTAGCTCAATCACTTTTTAAATGGACGGTCTAAGCTGGAGTTTTCCTCTTTTCCCACGTTTTTCCTGGAGTTTTAAATCTCAAAGAACAGCACCCTCCAGAGGCCCCAAAGGAGACAGCCTCTTGTGCCCTTTGACATCCTGAAGTCATTCACCCTGTGTCCTGGCCATTTTGCACACCCACCCCGCCCCCACGCCCCCCACACCCACCTCGCCCCCCACACCCACCCTGACATTGTCCCTTCCTCTCACTCCTCCAGGCAACAAACTTACTGATTGCCTTCTTCCCACTGGCTCCACAGGGGAAAAAAAAAGAACAGTCTAGTCTCAACACAGTCTACTCGGGAAAACACACCAAGTAGTAATTCGTAAATCCAAAATAAACATGATTGGTTGTTTTGGGGTTTGGCTTTTTTGTTCTTTTTTTTACATTTATTTGTGTGTGTGTGTGTGTGTGTGTGTGTGTGTGTGTGCGTGTGTGTGATTGTTTTGTGTGCCAGAGTGCTCATGTGGCGGTCAGAGCACAACTTATAAGATCCTATTCTCTCCCTCCACCAGCTTGGGTCCTGGGGTTGCAACTCTGGTCACCAGGCTTTGCAGCAAGTGCCCTCACTAGCCCAGAATGACTGTTTTGATTAGAAAAGGAGATGTGCTTTTGGGAGCTGGAAAGATGGCTCAGTAGTTAAGAGCACTTGCTGTTCTTGTAAAGGACCTGAGTCAGCTCATACCCATCTGTAACTCCAGTTCCAGGCAATCAACGCCTTCTTCTGGCCTCTAACTGCACCGGGCAGACACTCAGCGCACATATATACATGTAGGCAAAACACTCATACACATAAAGCAAGCTAATCTAAGAAAACATTCTAAAGAAGGAAAAGGAGAAATGTCCTTCAAGGTGTGCGTGGGGAATGACTAATCTCCTTTTGGAAGGTCTGGAGAGGTGGTTGTGGGATTCATCAGGGCACCCAGCACCAAATCTAATGAGCTGAGTTTGAGCTCCTGAGAGAATCAAGCTATGGGACTTAAATAAGTAAAACGTGTGCAAGGAGAGGCCAGAGACGTCCTCAAAGAGCTGTGAGGCCTTCTGAGAGGACACCAGGGTCTCAGCACGGAGTTTGCTCCACCCCGCTACCTAAGTGCCTAGCCACTACCCAAAGGCTCCATCACTGAGGAGTTTCACACACACACACACACACACACACACACACACACACACACTCATGGATGGTCTAAGCTGGAGCTCTCCTCTTTTCTCCAAACTCCTCATCCCTCCATCCTACATGAAGGTCAAAACTCATGCACATGAGAGTCAGGGCCTCACAGTCAGCCCTGTTTGACCTCCATCTCTTAACTAGAAGTCCCTGGTCTAGCCTTATCTTCTTCTGTGTCTCGTGAGTAGTTCATCTGCCTCAGGACCTTTGTCTTCCAGCGCTAGGGGCCAACTTTGACCAAACTTTGGACACTCATCAGCCTGATGGGTCACCCCACACTGTGGGGGGGGGGGTGGACGGACGGACAGGGAGGGTTTCCTCCATGGGCTAAGCTGACTATTACATTTTCTGGAAGCTTCCAAACCTTGACGCTCCATCAGCACTCCACCTCTGGCTGCTCATGCACGCACCTCTGCACTGTATTTCAGAGACAGAGGGAGAACAGACAGACAGCAGCAGAAAGAAAAACGTCCATGTTCCCACTATGGCTTTTCATGGTTTCCATATCATTTTTATGAACGCCTGGTTAAACTTCCTGTTTCTCCTGGTGATATGCACCGAGGCTGTATAACTAGTAAACGGCAGAGAGTGACCGTCAGTGCGGTCCAGAAATAACCTGCCGTTTGGAGTCATGTGCTCAGCACCGGGGGCAGCATCTTACCATTGCAGAAATGGAAACATTTAAATTGCAACCCAGCGGCACCCCTTGCGTCTCAAAAGGAACAGCTCTGTGAAGAGTCCTGAGCTAATTTCACAACTGCTGCCGAGAGAGCGGGACCAAAGCAAGAGCATCTAAAATGAGAAGGCTTGTGTCTGATGGGGTGAGCAGGCAGCTGGCCACATGAGGGCCTTCCCTGGGGCTGCTTCTTTCCCTGGAGTCAGCGTGCCATCCCGCAGAGCCTTTTCTGAGGTATGTGTGCCACCCGACAGCTGTTCTTACACAAAACCAACAGAGAATTCACCTACTTCAGAAAATAATCCCCCCTCGGGACCTTAACCGCCGCTTTAGTTCCTCTTAAAGCATGGGGGATTTGGAAGGGGCAGGGGCCTGCTCTCTGGACGCCCCCATGAGATGATCTTCGCGCTGTTAACACCCGGCTGCTTAAGTGTGACCTTGCTATTTTTAAAACCCGAGAGTCTGAACGGCTTCATCTCCGTTTTCTTCCTCAATCTTGACTGGAAGTCACAAATAGCCCAGATAGATTAGTGACGAAATCTCCCAGATTTCGTCATGAGACATGGCGGTGGTCCGCGTCCCGACCCTCTCTCCCTCAGGACTGACAGCCGAGGCAATGGTCCTGTGGGGGAAAGATCCCTTCTAGAAGCAGCAAGCCCGGGTTGAAGGTACGCCCCCCCCCCCAAGCCGCAGCCCTATAACCTCTGCCTCCAAGAGCATCCGGGGAAATCGAGGAGAGAAAGAGAAGAAAATGTAGAGGCGCTGCCTAATTATGAGCTGCTGTCTCCTACACAGCCTGTGGAAGCCTCAGCCTCCTTGTGAGGTGGGAAGTGCTGGCCCCACTGGCGGTTTCTGTGAAGAAGCTGAGGGGAAAAGCCTTTGCCCAGGGTCCCAGAGACACCAGCCTGCCAAGGGGGGTGACATTTGTCTCCCAGGCCAGAGAGCACCCTCCAGTGGCCACCTCCGGTGCATACCCACAGCACCGAGCCCCAAATTTCTCCTTCAGCACCCCACTTGAGTGGAATTCAAACCACCGCAGTGAGGAGAATGTCAGCCCAGCCCCGCTCTCAACAACTCCATGGAAACCTGTGGTGGATGGGCCAGCACAGATCTCCAGCCCCTCGGCGGAGCTAGCTGTCTGTCGGTCAGATTCTTTTGTTTTTGTCAGTTAGAGTTTGAGGAAGTGACAGAGAATCTAAGGTTTCATCCCACAGGACTGATCCTTTTTTTAGATCTCCTCACCACTGACTTTTTAAGGGGAATTTGTAATGTATGTTTGTATGTGTATCTCGTTGGGGGTTAGGCTTAGTGGTGGCTACACAGAGCCCTGTTTTGGTCACTCCTAAGCACACAGTCCCGCATGGATGAACCGTTCACAAGTTGGAGAACTGTTCCCACCACCCATGTCTAGACCTCTTCCTTCTGCGGAATCCATTCTCCCTGCCCATTAGCAGCCATCTTCCCGCTGCCCCTATGAACTTGGCCACCTCAGAGCACCTTACACGGATGGAGTCTCGCAGCATGTGCCCTCCTGTCACCATTTGCTTCGCTAAGCTTAATTTCCTCAAGGTGGTACGTGTCAGAATTTCCCTTCTTTCTGAGGCAGCATAGTCGCCCACCTGAGGTGTATTCCACGTGTTCTATTTGCCCACTCCTCCAGCAATGGAGTACTTTGGCTGCCTCTATCGCTTGACTGCTGTCACTCAAGCGGCTACGAACATGGACTCCCGGCCTGGACTTTTGTTTCCTCCTCAAACTTACCCCTCCATTCTCTGCTGCTATATAAGTTACAGGTGTGTCTGAAGAATTCACAGACATGATCCGTAAGCTCTATCCATGCCGGGCTTCAGGGACTCTGTTGAGCATCATTTGGCCTAGGGGAAAGTCCCTAACCTTGGGTGACACAGGCTCAGGCTTCCAGGGCTCTGGAGACTCAGTCTCCTCAGCAGCCCTGAGACTGCTGCAGAAGCCCCTGATCTGCCATCAGCCAGGAAGCAACACCAAAGAACCAGAGTCTAGACTGGCAGACAGTTCCATGAGCCTGGAGACGGGGTAAAGCCATTTCCCCACTCGACCTCACAGCATCCAACTTGCTACAAAGCCCACAGTTTTACTTCAGCTGGCAAGATCAACGCCCCACCGCCCCCCCCACACACACAAGAGCCCCTGTTAAAAGTGAGCAGACATTGCATCCAAACGGGCAGTTAAGGTAATTTGAACATCTAAAAGAACTTCAGGCGTGAGGACCCCGAGGGCGGTCCTCACCCCTGCAGGCTCTCTGACATGCCCTTCTCCCGTGCCCTTGACTGATCTGTGCCGCGCCTGCCACGTTAACTGACAGCAGGGCATACCAGGGCACAAGCACTCACCCGCAGGGTGTGTCCCCCGGTTCTCACAGCAGACGCTGGCCAGCTGCCGTGAGCCTTCACTGCTGAAGGCTCTCCAGCGAGGGAGTGCTCAGTCCCTCGGGAGTTCCGCGACTCCACACAGGAGGCCCGAAAACCCAGGCCACACCCCTGCTAGAAGCCGATCCATGCCTACGCTCCACTTCCTGCACAGGTCTCTTTGAGTTGCAAAAGGTACTTAAACTCCGTGTTAAAAACAAAAGGAAGAAAGCAGCCCGAGGTAGGAAGTTCGCGCCTCTGCCTGAGTCAACGAATCAAAGTACAGCAGCCATGCAAAACAGTCTCTCTTGAGGGCTGTGCCGCAGGAGCCTCCTCCGGGAGAGCCAGGAGTCCCGAGAGAAAAAGCCTGGAGAATCTGAGGGTGTGAACGGCTGCTAAGTTCCCACTCCCGGTGGCTGTGAAGCCCATCCGCTTGAAGATGCTCCTACGGGAAGTTTCTGCTCAGCCAAACAAGACCACAGTCTGCAAGAGGGAAGTGTTACCACAGGGAGAGGACAGAGCTCTTCACAAGTTGCACATGGGACTTGGGCTTGGAGAAGCAGTCCACCCTTGATTCACAAAGCTGGAGGTCCCAACAAGTGGTGGCTTCCGTTGGGATAAGGGGAGCAGGGGGCTGTGGCTCTCTTCACGGCTGTCCTTCGTGGAATGGGTGACTGCTTCCCTAACTGAGGAGAAGTCTGACCCCAGGCCTGTGCATTACAGCATTCTGCTGTTATTACAGAGAGCAGACACCAGATTTTGTTTCCTGAATTTGGGGTGTTTCACAGTTATGCAACCAAACTGTATAGCAAGCAGCCCAACTCCCACCAGATAAAACATCAAGGACATAGCCAGGGAGTCAAGCTGAGCTTAGAATACTAGAGTTGGTAATGAGGAAGGAGGGAGACCTGTCTTTCACCCGACTGATGGATTCGCACATTCTCACCCTCGGGTCATCACTCTAGCCCTATCTTGATGTTTTTGAAACATTGTCGTTGTATGTATTTGAGGTTGAACACGCATGCTATGCCTAGGTTGGCCTTGAACTCGGTCCTTCTGCCCTGGCCCCCCCAGAACTGAGATGTGAACTACTATGTTCAGCCTCAAAAGCTGTTCTTTTAGACACAAGACAACAGGTCGTGGAAGTCTGGGAAGATTATCAAGATGGACTCGGGATGTGTGATATAGAAATCTTGATTTGTGGGCTCTCGAGATGGCTCAGCAGCTAAAGGCACCTGTGGCCAAGGCTGATAACCTGGGTTTGACTCCTTGGACCCACATGTGGAAGGAGAGAGGCCTGCAAGCTGTCCCCTGACCTCCACACTTGTGTCCCGCACACATATGCACGTACATATGCACACACATACATACAAACAAATAAACGTAACAGACATTTTAAAAAGATCCCTGATTTGTGTCTATCCCTAGGCCAATAGCATTTCTGCAGAGGATGGCCCAAGGGAGAAGCATCAAATCATTTCTCAAAAAAGACGTTTGTGTGAGCAAGGTGGCTCAGAAGGTAGAGCCAAGCCTGATGAGCTGAGTTCAGTCACAGGACCCACAATACCGAAAGAGAGGAGCGGCTCCCTCAAGCTGTCCTCTGACCTCCGTGTCCTGACACACATGCACCCACATATATATGCATCACACACATACACACACACACACACACAGACACAGACAGACACATACATACACACAGACACCACACACACACACACACACACACACACACACACACACACACACACACTACATTTTAAACTTTTCGAGTAGACAGTGCCTGGGAATGACACCTAAGGTTATTTGGCCTCCTCCACACACGTGCACACTCTCACACAGATGCACATACACGCACAAAAATGGCAGTGTTCAACCGTCAGACTAGAATGTGATTGGTGGAGGCCAAAAGACTTCAGCGTCTTAATTTAAGCTAGAGAACTCATCATTTAGACTGGAAAACTCAGTTCTCAGTTGTCTTTGTTAAGAGTGTCACCGTATGGTCCCTTTACGATCGGTTCCTTTACAGTATCTGACCTAGGGAAAACTGTGTTCGCCCACAGAGGCACGTTTCAGCTGCCATGACTGTAGGGAGGAGAAAGAAGCCGGTCTTGCTTAGGTGACCAGTTACCCACTGGAAGGAGAAACCACCACAATGTCACTTCAGCTTGCTTGGGGAAGAGTCCCTGGGCTGCATCTCCAGCCCCAAAGAACCAGTCAAACAAGTAGGGAGAGGGGACTGCAGTCTCACAGTGGTGACGGACACAGGGCTACACCTCACAAATGATGTTGAGTCCTGAGGAGAGCGGGGTGGCAAGCTTCCTTCCTTTTCTTCTTTTGCCTGGTCTACCCCAAGGCTGCTTCTGCCTTCTCCCTGCCTTTTTGGTAACACTGGGGTCTGTGCTATCAGGAAGTGGCCCAGAAGGGTGTAGGCGTGAGGGGATAGACCCTCACCACAGAGGGAGGGCAGCGTGCAGGCAGGTAACAGTGGACACCAGTCTTTGATAATGTTTCCTGAGTGAGCTAGAGCTGTGTAGTGCAGGGGGCCCAAGTCATGTGCAGACTTGGCCAGAAAGAGTTCTTCTCAGCCTTCCGTTAATGTGCTCACCAGAGGCAGGTGGGAGTCCCCAGTCTCCAAATCCTGCCAACATCGGGGTTTCCCAGCCATTCTGCTTTTTGCCAAATCCATATGTGAGGAAGGGTTTGCTAAGGTCATTTCAGCTTTTGTTCCCGCTGCTAGGATCGTCCACACCGTGGCCCATTTCCTATGGTGTCCCCTTTTCCATTTGGTTGTTTTATCTTTCATGTGTTGAGGCTTTGTGTGTTTTGTGAATGCCCTAAGTATTTGTTCACTTTATATGTAACTTTTAACTCTATAATGCTTTGAGGTCTACAGACATTTACTATTTAATAAATTATTGGTTTTTCCTTCATGATCTATGCTGTTTGAATCTTTAAAAACAAAACAAAACAAAAAAAAATCTATCCTGGGATTGAAAAGACATTTTCTCTCAAACTATAAAGGTTTTTATCATTACATTTGTGTGCGTGCATGTGTGTGTGTGTGTGTTTGTGTGTGTGTGTGTGTGTGTGTGTGTGTGTACATGCATACCATGACGTACGTGTGGGGGTTGGTCAGAGGATAACTTTCAGTCATCGGTTCTCTCCTTCCACCCTGCTGAGGATCTTTTCTGTTGTTTCTGCTGTTTACTACATACTCCAGACTAGCTGGTCAGCAATTCCAAGCTAGTCTCCTGTCTCTGCCTCCCATCTCCACTGTAGGAGTGCTGGGATTACAGATGTAACCCACCACATCTGGCGTTTTGTGAGGGCTGGGGGAGGAGGGAGCCAAACTTGCATGGCAAGCACGTTTTCCAGGGCAGCCTCTCAGCAGCCTTGCTTTCTTCTTTGAGATCCATGCATCCCAGGCTCGTCCCCTCCTGCCTGCCGCAGCATCCCTGACCCATAGACCATGACTGCCTGACATCACACTGGGCTCAAGCATAGTTTTTACTGGAGATAGGATTACTACAACTGACTGTGGCAAAGCCCAGCACCTAGAAAACACTGACAAATTGCAGAGACAAAGGAACAAAATTTTGAAGGCAGGCTGGAGACTCCCTGTGAGGCAGAAGTTAGTAGGTCTACATATCAAGTTCCAGGCCTGCTAGGGCTATATAGTGAGACCAGGTTTCTTTCTTTCTTTCTTTTTTTTTTTTTTTTTTTTTTTGGGTTTTTTCGAGACAGGGTTTCTCTGTATTGTTTTGGAGGCTGTCCTGGAACTTGCTCTGTAGACCAGGCTGGCCTCGAACTCACAGAGATCCACCTGCCTCTACCTCCTGAATGCTGGGGCTAAAGGCGTGCGCCACCACCACCCGGCGAGACCAGGTTTCTAAAACAAAATTAACTTTGTGGAGACTAGCAAAACTACCCTCCCAGTCAACAGTAGGAATGTGTGAACTCATCACACACAGACTGAGGAGTAGGATAGAAGGCTGAGCTGTTGGTCCAGGTGGCTGTGGCTCTTTCAGGTGACCTGGGTTCAATTCCTACCACCTGTATGGCAGCTCACAATCTGATGCTCTCTTCTGACCCCCATGACCACCAGTCATGTACATAGCGAACACATACACACACACACACACACACACACACACACACACACACACACACAGCTCATCAATCCAGTAACTGAATTATCAGAATTACTGGACTCATGAGCAACATGGGACATAAGGAATGATCCTCCAGGGCCCTTTCTACCTTCCTCTTTGTCAGACCTCAGCTACTGAATCCACTGCCCTACTATATAGTGTCTGATGGACCCTCGTTTGGTCCTGTAGACATTCTCCTCATGAGATCGAGACTACATAACCTAAATAAGTTAGCATCTGGGAAACACCTACAGCTGGAGTAATGCATAGCTTTAACACACCAGTCTTGACTCTAGAAGGTCCTGCCTTTCCTAGAAGCCATCATTCTCAAAGAGCCCCCAAGGGAAATGCGAGGTGGCCCATGGTAGCACTGCATACATCCCTAGGAGAAGATGCTGTGAACAAAAAGACATGAGGACTGTGGGTCACTAATAGTGGAACCAAGATGAGTAGAGAGAATACTGAGGGATGGTGCCCACGCTACATGAAGCCTTGACAACCTACACCAATGACATGGCTTGTAACTGACCACATCTGAACACCGACCACATTAGCCCCAAGGCTCATCCCAGCATCCTTTGCCGGTCTGCTGGCCAAAATGCTATAGCTTTTCTTGAGCTCCACAATACCTTACAGCATAAGAAGGTCCCAAGTTCCCATGGCCCTCTCCCCCATTCTGTCCCAAGGCACGTTCAAGTCCTAACTTCCTATATCTGTGAACACTTTATTTGGAAATAGTCTCTGTAAAACTCATCCAAGATGCAATCACATGGTCTTGAGTGGTCCCTGAATGCAATGGCCAGTATCTTTATAAGAAAGGGAGAGGGGCCGGGAGGTGATGGCAGGTGCCTTTAATCCTGGCACTGGAGAGGCAGAGGCAGAGGCAGAGGCAGGTGGATCTCTGTGAGTTTGAGTCCAGCCTGGTCTCCAGAGTAAGTTCCAGGTCAGCCAGGGCTACACAGAGAAACCCTGTTTGGTAAAACATAAAACAAAAAAAGGAAAGAAAGGAAGAAAAGAATTAAGAGGGAAAGAAAGGAAGGAAGGAAGGAAGGAAGGAAGGAAGGAAGGAAGGAAGGAAGGAAGGAAGGAAGGAAGGAAGGGGGAAAGAAAAGGTGAGCAGGAGATTCAGAGAGAGATGCAGGGTAAAGGTAACATGAAAACAGAGGCTAAGCCAAGAACACACCTGGAGCTAGCAAGCAACAAGGACCATTAGCACCTTCAAGGGCGCATGGCCCTGACCATAGCTTAAAACTGGGACTTGCAGCCTACAGGACCGAGAGAAATGTTTGTTTTTTACAATCACTTGGCTTGTGGCCATGTGCTATGGCAGCCCTATAAAGTGTGTACTTTTGGCTCTCCAGAGAGCATTCTGTCGCATGTCCTCACTTCAGAGCAGCTCCCACTGCAGATGGGAGCCCTGAGCAGACCTGTGGCGGGACTCCAGTGCCTGAAGCTTTCGTGGCTACTGTGTTACGGTACCACTTGCGTCCACCCATGTAGAGGCCGTGCCGTGGGCATGAGATCTAACACAGGCTCTGAAACAAAGCAAGTTTCGTGGCGAAGAGCATCACATTGTTTCCCATAAGCATGTGAGGGGAAAAAGAGTATGAATCTGTGCTTTTGATTGGTGAGTGGTAGATAATTATCAATGTAATAGTGAAACACCCTTTATGAAGTTAAAAATATGTACTGTCACCCAATGAGATTACAGTAACAGCAAGGCTCTCTACTGCAGGCAATGTGTGTAGAGACGGCTTGGCACTGGGCGACTGTCCCTTAGACAGTATGAGAGGTGGCCCACTAAGGGAATAGATGTCACACTAACTAGGGACTCCACTGATTCTGCCCCCACCATACCAAAGAAATTTTACCCAAATTACACCTACCCGTAGCCATTCCAGACACTTGAATAGTTCTCTGCAATAACAGTGGTTATGTGGCAGGGACTACAGATTTGATTTTTTTGTTGTTGTTGGTGGTGGGATACCCATTCCTTGTTGGAGAAATACAGGCCTCCACTTCTGTTGCACCTCCCCTGGGAAGGCTGCTTGAATCAAATATGGGCTTGGAGCTTCACGTGGCACAGATTTGGGATAAGTTCCGTTCAAAGCCATGAGGGCGATGGCACCCACCCTTGTTGCAGAACCTATATCCAGATCCCACTTTCTCAGCTATACTCTGTCACTTCCTTCCTTAGGAACATGCCCATCTTTTCTACTGCCTGCATATCAAATTCAGAGTCCCCAGCTTTCGGCTTCCCGTTCCCTCTGTCTTTTCTCTTTACAATCCTCCGCTTTGGTCAAACCATCATTTGCGGTCTTTCTGCTCCTCTGAGCGGCACAGGCCCTTTGCTTCTGATTCAAGCTTCCCGGCTGGAAACCCACGCCTGTCCACCACACTGCGCACCACGCAAACAGCACAAAACTGTTTTCAGGAACTGGAGGTCACTGTGGTTGTGTTTTAGAGTTCCAGCAGCAGAGCAGCATGCTCTAACTTCTCTTTTTCTACAAACACTTGCTAGTATATTACCTCCTGTGAGCTTCCCAGAAATCTAGACAAAGCAAATACCAGCAATACAGGCTGAAAAAAAAATCATTACATTTAGAATGTGTGTGTGTGTGTGTGTGTGTGTGTGTGTGTGTGTGTGTGTGTGTGTGTGTTTGCTCATGTGCCAGTGTGCTTATGGAAATCAGAGGACAGCATGTAGGCCCAGTGGTCAAATTCAGGTTTGGTGGCAAGTGTCTTTACCTGCAGATGAGCTACTTGACGGCCCTCAGCAATGCGATTTTTAAATTGCATAATGAAAACACTCAACAGCTCACCCATCTGCCTCCTCAATGAACAAGGGATAGGAGAGGAGGTAAAACAACATCGCTAACTCCTGGAAGTGCTCATATTACCCAGTCCTAGGTAGGTAAGATAGGTAGGAATAAAGATCGTCCCATCAGCAAGAATGACTGATGTTGTTTGTCTGAAAAGGAGACGGTTCTGAAATGAAGGGGATCTCCACATGCTCTTCTAACAGGAAACACAGGCTCCTCTCAAATTTCCCATCAAAGCAAGGTCTCCTAGCAACAGCCACTGAAAGGTGAAGCTTCTGAGATTTCGATTTTACTATCTGTTATGCGTTCTTTGTGACTCAACCTTCAAGGGTATGAAATGTCAAACGAGATTAAATTTCCATGAACTGAGATGCAGTTTATTAAAGGAATTTGTACAATTGTTGAAACAACATGAAGGTTCTGACTCCGTCTACTAAAGAACTATTAAAGTTTCAGTAAAAGATTAAGTTAAAAGCTTAAAGTGAAGTTATATTAACAAGCAACTTAGAGTTCAAAGTAACTTCTAACAGAAAACCTACTTGCAGCTCAATCTTATTTGCAAAAGGCAACGGGAAATATCACTGAACACTGGTCCACCTAGCGCAGTGAGTAATAGAAGGTTCTCAGCATGCACAGGCCCTCAGACCAGTGACAGCGAGAAGGGAAAACAAGAGTTCACCTAAAACCCTCTGGAAGCCAAGTCTGAGAGACAAGCATGGCCACTTTGTATATATAAGCAGTAGTAACACAGAGCCAAGCCTGCCCTGTATCTAGTCAAGGTACTTCACAAATGCTATGATTAGAAGTCACAATTAACTAAAACCACCCTTAATCCTAGCACTCAGAAGCCAGAGACAAGCGGATCTCTATGAGTTGGAGGCTAAAGGCCTGGGAGTTACAGGCCAGCCAAGGCTAAAAACAAACAAACATCACCTGGAGAAGTAGCCAGCAGTAGGGTTCAGTGATAGAGGACTTGCCTGGCACATACGAAGGTACAGTCCTCCGTGCCACACATTTATAATCCCAGCTCTCTGGAGGTTGGGGCAGGAGAATCAGAAGTTCAACCACATTCAGCTATGCAGTAAGTTTGAGGTCAGGCTGGGTTCACAAATGATCCTTGTCTACATAAATTTTGGAAGGAAGGAAGGAAGGAAGGAAGGAAGGAAGGAAGGAAGGAAGCAAGGAAGCAAGGAAGCAAGGAAGCAAGGAAGCAAGGAAGCAAGGAAGCAAGGAAGCAAGGAAGACCTGGGTTCAATTCCCAGCACCCACATGGTAGCTCACAGCTGTCTGAAACCTCAGTTTCAAGGGATCTGACACCCTCACACAGACATATATGCAGGCAAAACACTAATGTACATAAAGTTATTTAAAAATCATAATAATAAAAGAAAGAAATCACCTGGTGAAAACCACAGCTTCTCAAAAGGAAATCCTTGTGCACTGTCTTTGGCAATGTGAGTTATTATAGCCACTATGTTGGGGGCTTGAAGATAATACTACTATGACCCACCATTCAACAGGTTTAAATTGGTATGCTGAAGGGCTGTCTTGCTCCTAGCTCACCTCATTAGTTACAAACATATTTGGCTAGATCTATTTGGCTAACAATATAACATAGAGAAAATATACCATATATATAATGGGCCAATACTGTTTATCCTTTAGGAAGGAAACTGTTACTTGCAACAACATGGATAAACTGGGAAGACATTATTACTGAGTGATATAAGTCAGGCACAGAAAGATAAATTCTATGTGACATCATTTTTATGGGAGAGGAGTCTATAAAAGCTGAACTCAAGAATGAAATGATTCAGACCCTAGGGTATAGGGATATGGTTTGAACAAAAATGGCCCCCACAGGCCCATAGGAAGTGGCACTATCAGGAAGTGTGGCCTTGTTGGAGGAAGCAGATCACTGAGGTCTCAGATGCTCAAGCCAGGCCCAGTGTGGCACTTTCTCCTCCTGCTGCCTGCTCACCACCATGGCAATAGTGGACTCTGAACTGTAAGCCGCCCCAATTAAATGTTTCCCTTTATAAGAGTTGCTGTGGTCATGGTGTCTCTTCACAGCAACAGAACTCTGATTAAGACATGGAATAAAGGAGATTTGGGTCAAAGGGTGTATGTTTTTACTAGATGAAAGGGAGGAAGGTCTGAGAAGTACTGCAGATAAGCTGCAGTTAATAATAATGGGACAGATTTCAAAATCCCTGAGAGCAGATTTTGGCCAGAACAAAGAAAAAAAGTGAGCTGATAAACATTTGTAAATGGATTTACTTGTCCCAGAATATGAACATATATCAAAACATATTACACCTCCATAAGTATATAAAATTACTGTCAAGTATATAGGAAAAATAGAACAGCTTTTCATCATTTGCAATAAAGGATATTTTTTTCCTTGAAATGCTTGGTGCATAAACTTTTACCATGTCAATATTCCAGAGCTATTAAATCAAGTCTCAGCTGTCAGTAGGTGACTTCTCACTGTTCCTCATTTTTCCAGACCACACTTTAGAATCATCTGTGCAAGCAGTTTTCTACCCAGGATAGCTCTGCATGTGTGTGCACGCACAATTTTACACATGGACGTGGAGGCAGGCAAGAGGTCAAAGTCAGGTGTCTTCCTCAATGGTTCCCCACCACGGTTTTTGAGACAAGGTTCCTCACTAACCCTGAAGCTTCACCTGCTCCTACATCCCCAGTGCATGCACTGTCAGCATGGTTATGTAGTCCTGAGGATCTGAACTCAGTCCTGTGCTCGTGAGGCAAGCATGGTACCAACTGAGCCATCTCCCTGGCCAGGATGCTAGTTTCTTATGCAATTAAGCCTTTTTTTATTGGTGGTCAAGCATGTATGACAATGCGCTAAGCTGCATGGTGACTGATAATCTTGCGGCTACCCCTGCTCCCATACACATTCACATACCAAATAAATTAAGCAACCATAATTATAAATGCATTGAAAAGTCAAACAATATGGCTAGATAGTACCACACCCAAACTAAGATGTTCACAGTGGCACTGCTTAGATAGCAAAAACTAACAAAACTAGTGAAAACTAACTCAAAAGTCCATCAACAGAGCAAATGCTTCACATTCATGACAATTACATAGCAATAAAAGTCAACTATTTTAAAAAGTCACAGAAGGAAACATACATCATATATTTATATAAAATTCAAAACCATATAAAATTAACAGCAGGCAAACACAACTCACAATTCCTGGAGGGGGAAGGGGCACATGGAACTTCCAGTGAGTGACCCTCCATCTCCTATACTACGGCCAGGTGTACAACTTACTGTTTTATGTCTTATATACAATTTATGGACTTCTGTGGTATGAAATGCTTCATTTATAAAGGACTGAAAATATGAAAGATGCTAAATATGAACGCTACCGTGTATGCATAACAATAAAATCTGTATAAAAAGTACACACAGGAAATGCCCACTGTCTTCCAGTGCCCCCACCGTCAGTGTGAACCTGGAAGGCTGTCAGGTGAGTTAGCCGTGACAGCGGAAGTCCGTGTGACTGTCAGGTGAGTTAGCTGTGACAGCGGAAGTCCGTGTGACTGTGAGTGCCCCAGGTCAGACAGGAGCAGACCTGCTAGACATTCATTTCCACCCGTCCCGCTCATCTGTACTTAGATTTCTCTTTGTCTTTGGACTTCTTTGGACTTCTGCTCCGGTCTCTCTTTCTACTCCTTTCCCTTTCATACGAATCTGCCTGGTACTTGGGTTTGTGGCTGTTGCTATAGTGACCGTCCCTTTCTCGAGATCGGCTCCGACTGCGGTTCTGACGCCGGTCTCTCTTTTCGCTCTTCTGTTTCTCCCAACAGCTTTCTTCATCTTCATAATGGCCAAAACCCATTTCCCTGTAGATATCCTGTCAAGAAATGCACTTTTAAAGTCAGTCAGTACAATGGCCCTCTATGAGCGCTGTCAATTCATGAAGCCTAGAAAAGTCTTGCCATTAGCCAGCTGCTGCAACAGCTCACATTCATTTCTTAAAATTCTTTTAATTTTATGGACCTAGGCATCTTGTCTGTATGTCTGTGTGAGAGTGTCAGATCTTGGCATTGGAATTAGTCACAGCCATTGGTGAGCAGCCATGTGGTGCTGGGAAGTGCACGTGTCCTGTGGAGGAGCAGCCAATGCCCTCCACTGCTGAGCCCTCTCTCCAGTCCTCACATCCACTCTTCCTTCCTTTAAGGCAGGGTCATGCTATGTGGTCCAGGCTGGTATTGGACTCACACTTCTCCGGTCTCAGCCTCTCTCAGTCACCTGCCCTCACGGCTTCAGTGTGTACTACCACTAATACCAGAATCTCAAAACTATTTAAAAACAAATGACTCAGAAGAGCTAATCTTTTTTTTTTTTAGATAAATCTAATTGGTTTATATCCATTTCAGTTGAATCAAAGGATCAGATCCAAAACCATGGAACTGAAACAGCCAAGTAAACGCTGAAGAGTTTTGTTTTAGTAGTGTCACAGAAATGAACCCGGGGTTTGTACATGCCAGGTTCTACATCTCCAGCCCTAGAGCAACACCCAATGCTCTCATCACATACATTCATACTCTATTTTCTCATTCTCCACTTCCCCAAAATGTGGTCCCATCACTTAACTGCAGTAAAATTACCAAAGTCCGCTTATAATTCTACAAGAAGGTGTCATTCAAATAACACAGCAGGAAGAGGATTTAGATGAATCAGTCAGGCTAAAATGAAAACAAAGTAGATACTGCAAATTTTGGCATGAATAACCCCTGCAACCCCCAGCTGGCCTTTAACTCACTCTGTAATTGAGGCAAGCCTTGAACTCCTAAGTATCTAGAATTAGGAGGCTGTGTTATCACACTTGTCTCATTTTTTTTTAATTACTAACTAGACATTCTACTAGTTCCCTAGTCCTGATTAACTTTAAAGTGTTTTATAATGCCATCTCTTTATATCTTCATATACATTTTACATGTTCAAACTGGACTGCTACATGATGCATTAAAACTCTTACTTAAGGGTTCTGGAGAGATGGTTCAGTGGTTAAGGGCACTGATTGCTCTTCCAGAGGACCGGGGTTCAATTCCCAGCACCTACATGGCAGCTTATAACTGTCTGTATCTCCAGTTCCAGGGGAATCAACACTCACAACAAAACACAGAGACATATAAAATAAAAATACATAAATTAAAAAAAGACTTGTTTAAAAAAACCTCTTACTTAATATGTCAGGCATGAGCTGGGCAGTGGTGGCACATGCCTTTAATCTCAGCACTAGGGAGGCAGAGGCAGGCGGATCTCTGTGAGTTCAAGACCAGCCTGGTCTACAAGAGCTAGTTCCAGGACAGCCTCCAAAGCTACAGAGAAACCCTGACTGGAAAAACAAAACAAAACAAAATGCGTCAGGCATGATGGCACATGCCTTTTAATCCCAGCAATTAGGAGGCAGAGACAGGGGGATCTCTATATGAGGTTTGAGGCCAGCCTGATATACATAGTGAGCTCCAGACCAGTCAATGCTACATAGTCTTTAGAAAAATAAAATGCTACATAGTCTTTAGAAAAAAAAGTATCTTACTTACCTATCTTTAAAGGTGAATTAAGAAACAATCTACTGCTGTCAGGACAGTAAAAATGGCTCTGTCTGGGCTGGAGGTATGGGGTAGATGTATTAGGGTACTTACTGAGTTCAGTCTCCAGCTCACCCCCAAAAAATGGGAGACCTGAGCCCCACTCTTGACTACGCAGTAGGCAAGCTACAGCTAAATACTACTCAATTTCCCGTAACCTAGTAAAACTCAAATTCAACAACACAAAACCACCTATGGAATTAAGATATAAGGTAAAAATTAAACAGACGAGTTCTGAACTGAATAGCAAGGCTGCCATTCAACAAGCCACAGTTTAAAGAACAAGTTAGAGCACCCTCACGGATCTGGACTCTCCAGCAAACAACAGCATAAAGAAACACCTGCTACATCTGCAACTTAACCTATACTGAAGTTCCTGTTAGTAATCATGTCTTTCAGACTAAAACAGAAAATACCAATATTGAGCTTTTCTACAAAGAAATTAATATAGCTATACTGTCAAATCAAAATACAAACCCCAAAACTTACTTTGATGTACCGATGGGAAAAAGGTTAGAAAATGAAAATTCAGAATCTAATGCTTTTATAGTTATTTAAAACTTAAGGCTGTGTGTGGGTGGCAGAGGCCAACTCTGAGCAGTGGCTCTACCCTCCACACTGATGAGACAGAGGCTGCTCTCTCATCATTTCTGCTGGGCTGGAGTAGCATGTTCCCACACTGTCCTTAAGGTTCTGGGAGACATTCCTGTTTCTACTTCCCATGTCAGCACAGGAGTGCAGGCACCACAGCAAGCTTTTTGTTTTGTTTTGTTCTTATTTTTTTTCCTCTTAAAGGGAGGTTCCAGGGACTGAACTCAGTCATCTGATTTGCATGGCAAGTGTTTTTTTTACCTGCTGAGCCATCTCCTCAGCCCTTAAAATTCTTTTAAAACTGCCAACAACACTTCCTCCTCCTTACTGCACGCCACTGTAAAGTCCTAAGTGATGAGAAAGCAGGGGCTGGGCGGCTCAGCCATAAAGTGCCTGCATGCCAGTACAAGGGCCTGAGATCAGCTCCACAGCTCCATGCGAAAACAGGGACAAGTGGCTGTAACCCCAGCCCTGTTGAGGAACTGACAAACAGACCCCTAGAGCTTCCTGCTCAGTGAAGTTGGCCAATCACTGAGCTTTGAGCTCAGGCAGAGATGCTGTCTCAAAGAAAATAACATGGAGAACAACAGAGGAAGACAATTAACTTGAACCTCTGGCCTCTACATACTGGAGTATATACATGCACACATACACAAAACACAGATATATACCTGCATACAAATACATGCACAAAAACATAAATACCAAATTTAAAACACTCCTCCAGTAGGATTCCTAACTGCGGGGAAGAGATAGACTTGAAACATACCCAGTCTTTGCATTTCTTTAACCCTCTGATTATCTCAAACACAGTATTTGTCTCAAACCTGGATTCAGTGACGATACATAAGTATAGGTTTGAACACCAGTAGCTAAAAGATGGGCTTCAAAGCCTTTAGTAGAAAACGTGTTAAATAAGAATGTGATATGATAACTATTTTAAAAGACTGGGGTGATCTAGACTAAATTAACAGTAGTTAAGAAACAGGAGGTGAGCTATGAGATGGCTTAGGAGGAATGGCCTGTAAGCCCAGCACTGTAGGATGGCAGAGACAGGAGGATTGCTTGAATGTGTTGGCTACCGGTCTAGCTGCAGGTCTGGTAAGAGGCCTGGCATAAAGGAATAAGGTAGAAAATGATAAAGCAGGAAACCTGGCATCCTCGTTTAGTCTCCAGAGCATATACCCTGCATATACATGTGTGCATGTACTAACATGCAGACGCGTACACGAATAACAATTCTTGAGGGAGGGAGGGAGGGAGGGAGGGAGGGAGGGAGGGAGGGAGGGAGGGAGGGAGGGAGGGAGGGAGGGAGGGAGGAGGGAAGAGATTCTCTGGTTAGATCACTGGATACTGCACTATGGGTCAATTCTACAAGAATAACAACAGGATTATGCAAAGAAGAGGAATGCAGCAGTGGACTAGTTAGGAGTATAAATCTGATCTAAACTATGGCTCCACCACTTACTATACATGTAAACTACAGTTCAGTGACAAGCTTCTTCCTTTACAATTTCTTTGTTGTGAACTGGGGATAAAAAAGCTTACCTCGAATTTTAAGGACAAAAAAATTACTTTAGTGCTTTTACCTTCATTTATTCATGTGAGAAACATTTGAAAGGATGGACAAAGATATAGTTTAAAATCTGTAGCAGGTTGGGCAGGAGAAATGACTCAGAGGTTAAGAGCACTGGCTGCTCTTCCAGAGGTCCCGAGTTCAATTCCCAACAACCACACAGTGGCTCACAGCCATCTATATAGTGAGATATGGCGCCCTCTTCTGGCATGCATGCATATATGTTGGCAGAACACTGACCTAATAAATCTTAAAAAATAAAAACAATATGGAAGGAAATGGATAGTGATGGCACATACCTTTAATCACAGCACTTGGGAGGCAGAGGCAGGTGGATCTCTGAGTATTGAGGATAGTCTGGCCTATAGAGTGAGTTCCAAGTCAGTCAGAGCTGTAACACAGAGAAACACTGTCTTGAAAAGCCAAAAATAAAATCTGTAACAGGACATGAGTGATGACAATATTTAAAAAGTTAACAGGCTATATATAAAAAAAGAGATTATGCCTCTGTTAGATGACATTGAGAGATAAAAATGTATGCTATATAGGAATATTTATTAAAAATACATTTGCTAAAATATTTTTTTAGCTCTAGGGAGATACTGAAGGCCTGTATTCAAATCTCCAGCACTCACACAAAGTCCACGTGTGAAGTACAGCTCCAGTGCTGGGATTGAGGAAACAGAAGGATTTGGGAGCCCCTGTAGCCAGCCAGTTTAGGCAAATGGCAATACCAACTCCAGTAAGAGACTGTCTCCAGAAATAAGGTATAAAGCTTACACAGGCAAGTGTGCTTAGACATCCGTACTAACCTCATACACACTCAGAGAAAACACTGTTACACGAAGACCAACATAAAATACATCATCACCCACAAGAGAGAAAAAAGGGGATGGGATGGGGCTCAAGGTAAACTATGTTTGTGTCCTATTCGGAAGACTTTCCCTTAAAACAAACAAACAAACCTTCAACCCTCAGTCTCACTATAGAGCTCCATCTGGAAACTCTTGGCCTTCCTGCCTCAGACTCCCAAGTACTACAATTATATATGTATGCCACCAGTGTTCAGTTAGATTTAATTTTTGAACCGTATTGTTTTAAAAACTACAAATCATTTCAGCTCAGCACTTGGGAGGCAGAAGCAAAGGTAAGTGAGTTTGAAGTCACCTGATCTACACAATGAATTCTAGGCCAGCTGGGGATCAGAAAACAAAACTATAAACCAGAAAGCTGTTTTGCGCAACCCATTAACATGAACTGGAAAATGGGACAGACACCGGAAGTAGGATCCAAGCCAATGTCCTAGCCATAGGGAGAGCCACCGTAAGTGACTTTAAAGCAGCCCCTTGTCAGTGCTAGCGGAAGTGATGAGATTATCCAGATACGAAAACGCCTGCACACGCCTGCCCACACTTATTCTAACAACCTGCCTGTGAAGTATTATTTCCTTCTCAAAGAAGGAAACTGTGACTCAAAGTTAAGTTGTCAAGGTCACATCAATGGCAAGCAGTGCAGAAATGTCACTCTTAACTCTGACAGCCTTGCCTCTGCTTACCCTACCCATCTCCCCACCTGTGTCCCTGCCTCCTTTACCAGGGTCATCTCAAATGACTGACAAGCTAAAAGAAAAGCACGGGGCTGTGATGGAATGGCTTTTTTTTTAATTTAACAAAGAGGCAAAATAGGCTAGAAATGATTTCTTTTCATGGCCACTGTTTTAGGAAATGTGCTGTTCAAGACAGTTTTGGGTAATGTTAAATTATGAGTGCTATTTTTATTTTACATCTACAGTATAGACAGGACAAAGGCTCAAAGGCTAGCCAAGGCTAAGAGCTCACATCTGTCATTCTACCAATTGGAATGTGAAGGCAGAGGATCAGTGATTCAAAAACAGCTCCTGCTACATATGAAGTTCAAAACCAACCTAGATTACAGGAGACCCTGTCAATAAACAAACAAAATCAAAGAAAACTTCAAGTAGTGCTGCACATAAAATACATGTTGACCACCAACGTTTATAGTAGCACTATTCACAATGGCTAAGTTATGGTGTCTAAAAACCGTGAAATGGATGAGGAAAATGTCAATATCCACAATGGAAAGTTTCTTTCAGTCACAAAACATGATGTCCTATGTAGAAAATGGATGCAAACAAAAGTCATATTCAGCAAATTTAAGTCAGTCTCAGAAAGACAAACTGTAAATTTTCTCTCATTGGTGGTTCTACATTTTATATAGTCATGTATGTATAGATTAAATATAGGAGTGAAACTGTCTAGGCCCTAAGGAAACAAGGGGACTAATAGGAAAGGAATGGAGGGAATATTCAACAGAAAATACACCCATGTAAGAAGACTTAAAATAAAAGGGGCTAGAGAGATTGTGCCTCAGATAGGGGTACTGACTGTACAAGCAGAAGAAACTGTGTTCAGATCCCTGGAACTACGTAAAACCTGGGCAACATCACAAGCCTGTAATCATTGCTGGGATACCACTAGCTCCAGGTTCAGTGAGACCCTGCCTCAAGGGAATAAGATGGAGAGTGATAAAGCAAGACACCAAGTGTCCTCCTCTGGCTTCCCTGCATGCATACCCCATGTACATACACTACACACAAATATACATACACACAGTTTTTTAATTTAAAGTTTTTGAAGTGCTGAGGGACTGACAGATGACTCAGCATTTAAGAGGACCCATGTTTGGTTCCCATCACCCACATAATGTTGGTTCCTAACTGCCTGTAACTCCAGTTCCAGGAGATCCAATACCCTCTTCTGACCTTCAATGGCAAGTACCATATATTTAACCGATATGCATAAATTAAATAATAATAATAAATCTTTAAAAAGTGCTGACAAATTGAGAAGCAATTTTTCAACATAGCCACATTTGTTTTGTTTTGTTTTTATGAAAATAAGTATCCGTAAGTAAGGAGATCACTTTTGCTTACAATGTAGACATAAATAATAACTAAATCACCCTGAAAACAATATTTATATCCTGTGGGATACAGTCTTTAAAATTAAAACCCATTACCCCGTGTGTGCATTCTATAGCTCAGAGCAGGGGATTACTGTTCAAAACTATATCCCTTATCTCCTACATTACACCACCAAGATGCCCTGTACAAAAGGATAAAATATTGATTTTTCCATGTTTAACCCTGAATGTTAGAAATACCTGATTAGGGTTTTTGATTGGCATGTATTCCTCATCTTCTTTTTCTTCAGAGCAGTGACGTGTTTTCTTTTTGTGTTTTTTACTTGTGTGTGAGTGACTTGATTTTGAGTCTTCTGCCTGTTCATCTAATATAAGATCATATTTCGCACTGAAACATTTAATTAAGGACAAACAAGATAAATAATGGAAGCAAAACATAAGAAATATGATAAACAAGAGAGGCCATAAAGCTAAGTGTAACTTAAGGCAAATCACCTCTGAAAGCACAGAACATAAGAAATATGATAAACAAGAGAGGCCATAAAGTTAAGTGTAACATAAGGCAAATCACCTCTGAAAGCACAGAACACATCTCTGAGACAAGTAGCAGTCTGCATCACAGTCACGAGAGATGGAAGGGACCCTGGCACCAACGAGGCAATAACCACCAGGAAACAATTGTAAGTAGAACAGAAATTAAAATATATTTGCTGATGATGAAAAAACTTAATTAACAAAATGAGACATGCCATTGACGAGAAAAACTGAAGGTATGTGAACCTCAAAGCCAGAAAACTCTTTAGAGAGAAGGTGCATTGCATGACTCTTCTCAGTCAGGACAGAATTTAGCAATAAACAGTGATGATGCAGAAATTCTTCTAAGAGTTTATAGCAATAAAACTAAGTTATGTGAACACAGATATACATGTTAGAACCATTTTTAATTGTTAGAAAATGGGAAAAATATTTAATAATGTATAATAAAATAAATTTTAGTATCATAGCATGTTATAATATAGGAGTTACTAATTGTTATTTCTTAAAGGCTAAGAAGGCCTATATGAAAATTAAAAGTGGAAAAAAAGCTTAAGTCAAATACTGTACAGTTGATCCCATGACTCAGGAGACAAAGTAGCCAGAACTACATAGGGAGACTCAGTCTCAAAATAAACAAGCAAACAAAACCACATAAACAGGAGGGATGGCTCAGCAGTTAAGAGTACTAGCTAGCTACTCTGCTAGAGGACCTGTGTTCCATTCTTAGCACCTATGTCAACTGAATTACAACTGCCTGTAATCACAGCTTTAGAGATCCAACACCCTCTCTGGTACCCACAATCACACATGCACACACCTATTCATAGACACACATACATAAAACATAATTTTAAAAAAACAACTTTTAAAAAAACTTCATAAACATTAATTCTTGTAATCAGATAGCTCAGGCAAAAAAGATTAGTTTGAGACTATCCTGGGCTACAAAGTTAAGCCCTCCTAGGGAAAAAGTGAGACCCTATATATACATAACAGTAATTTTAACTTCATCAAACTTTAGGAAAGATAAAGGCTTGAAAGGAAAAAAATAAAAAACACCATTTATGTATGTGATAGAAGTGAGCAAATCTTTTCTAAATTTTATATAAAATATTTTTACTTAAATTTTAATTGGAGCCAAGGGAGTAGTTCTGTGGTGACATGCTTGCTATTATGCAGAAAGCCCCAGGTTTGATCCTAGCACAATAACAACAACAATGTTTTAAATCAAAAATGAGCATTTTCTCTAATATAAAGCCTTAGAATGAAAGAAAGCATAAATTGGGCAGTGGTAGCTCACACCTTAATCTCAGCACTTGGGAGGCAGAGGCCGGAGTATCTCTGCGATTTTGAGGGCAGTTTGGTCTATATAGTGAGCTCTGGCCTATATACTGAACTCTGGTCTATATAGTGAACTCTGGTTTACACAGAGAGCTGTGGTCTACATAGTAAGTCCTGGTGTATACAATGAGCTCTGGTCTACACAGTGAGCCCTGGTCTATATAGTGAGCTCTGGTCTACACAGTGAGCTCTGGTCTACACAGTGAGCTCTGGTCTACACAGTGAGCTCTGGTCTACACAGAGAGCTCTGGTCTACACAGTGAGCCCTGGTCTACATAGTGAGCTCGGGTCTACATAGTGAGCTCTGATCTACATAGTGAGCTCTGGTCTACACAGAGAGCTCTGGTCTCCACAGTGAGCTCTGGTCTGCACAGTGAGCTCTGGCCTACATAGTGAGCTCTGGTCTATATAGTGAGCCCTAGTCTACATAGTAAGCTCTGGTCTCCACAGTGAGCCCTGATCTATATAATGAGTCCTGATCTATATAGTGAGCTCCAGTCTACACAGTGAGCCCTGGTCTATATAATGAGCTCTGGTCTACATAGTGAGCTCTAGGATAGCTACATAGTGAGACCCTGTCTGAAAAAATAAACGTAAAGAAAGCATAAACTAGTGTAAAGACTATCGCAGTCTCTAAAGTGCTCTCTTAAGGCTGAGCTCTGGGATGTGAGGACCGACTATGAGGAAGCCTCACACAATTGCTACTTTGGCTGCATATGGGACCAGAGTCAACACAGACATGTCCTTTAAGGGCCAGAATCTAATGTCTGTTTTCTTTTATTTTAATTTTGGGTTTTCACAGTGGCACTGCTTAGGCTTCCCCCTGCGTGTATCCCACACATACACAAGATCAAAAAGTTAACATATGCTTTCTAGCTTTCCACAAGATAGCCAGAAATGGACTGTCAGACCCTGTTTGGGGGAAGTCCTGTGCATTTGTCAATAAAGCACTGCTGGCCTATAGGGAATCAAGATAGGTGGGACTAGGAGCCCAGGAGGACGCTGGGAAGGAGAAACACAGGAGATTCGAGATGTAACCGCCATGGGGTAGGAAGCCCAGAACTATTCTCCGGTAAGAGAAATACTTAGATTAACAATTATGGGGTAATTACTTAAGTCAGAGCTAGCCAGGAAGAAACAAGCAAGGCCAACAGCTTCATAATTAATATAGCCTCCTGTGTGTTTATTTGGGACTGATGCGGCTCTAGAACCAGGCTGGCGGGAAGGCTCCTCTCAAAGAAAAAGCTTCTCTTTACAAGACCCATTATTACTTCATTATCTAAAATGTCTTTCCTCTTTTATACTATGATTATTTCCAGTATTCTTCAAGCTAATGAGTTGTAGAATTTATGGTTCATAACTAGCAATTTTAGAAGTCACATAGAATAAGAAAATCAGACTAGCACCTAAAAATAATACCATTGGCCGTGTGGTAGAGCAATTGCCTCATATGTGTAAGGTCTTGGGTTCAATCCCCATCACACACATACACACAAAACCCCCACAAAACTTATGAAATTTCATTTCAGTTGTATTTGAGGAGCATGTGTATGAAAAAAGAGGATATATGATTGCACTAGGTAAGACATAGATCTTATTTTTTTTTAAGATACTAAGTCACAAGTCTAATCATCAATTAGGCTCAAGCAATCCTGCGTCATCTCGAGTAACTGGAACTTCATGCATGCATCCCACCCTCCTAAACGTTCTAAATGATGGGTAAAGAAAATTGTACCAAGGGTTGGAGTAAACTCGATTAGTAGAGAGTGGTTGCCTAGCATTCATTTAAACATTTTGGTGCTACAAACTTTAAACAAGACATTGACTTCCTTATAGTCAGAACAACCTACATGGTAACATCTATGCTTTATGCTCTGCAGCTACAGTCCCTGTATTTGTCCTATACACTCCCCCTTTTTAGTGGTTCACAGATGTCAAGGTCACATGTGCACATATTCATCTACGCCATTATGATACTGAGCTTTAAGCATTGTAAGGAGTGACCTCAGCTTGTCAGTCTGGCTGCCTGTGAGCCTCTTAGGTTGATGCTGTAGCTCCCTTCAGACTAACACAAAATAATGCTCTGTGCATGGAATTTTTTTAAAGATTTATTTAATATGCTTACAACATTCTGCCTCCGTGTATCCCTGCAGGCCAGAAGAGGGAGCCAGGTCTCATTGCAGATGGTTGTGAGCCACCATGTGGTTGCTGGGAATTGAACTCAGCACCTCTAGAAGAGCAGCCAGTGCTCTTAACCTCTGAGCCATCTCTCCAGCCCGACAGGCAACACATTTGAAAGCATGAATATCTAAAGGCCAACCTGATACTCATCTCTCCTTGATGAATATATGGAGAAGACATGCCTTCGTAACACAGGAAAAGAGAACCTCTTTCCATCAACAGAAACTAGGAAACAAAGATGCCATTTACCAGACACGATTGCCAAAGAAATGACCTTTGCAATGTGTGGAGTGATAGATTTATAGTGGGAAAACCAGCCGAACAAATAAAAATGACATAGTAACAACAGTTTGCTTCACTGTTTTTCTCGTCTCAGCTTAAAACCTGAATTGCATGGTCAAGTCGACAGATTTGCTTTTAATCCTGTAAATGTCACCTCTTGCACTAAACAAGAGGGAGCATGAAACAAAGATGTAGCAAATCTTTGCTGCTAAAATGTCAATGTATTGGGCAGAAAAAAAGCAATCTAATTATGTGACAAAGAACTACGAGATTTTGTTATCTAGATAAGGAAATTAAATATAAGAGAATGAATAACAAAACATTAGTATATTTAAAAATAACAAATTTATCTGAAGATCATTTGAGAACAAGGTAAGTAGGAAGGTATCTTTTTTTCCTTTTTTTTTTAATTTGTTTTGTTTTTTAGTTTTTCAAGACAGGGTTTCTGGCTGTCCTGGAACTCACTCTAACTCACTCTGTAAACCAGACTAGCTTCAAACTAACAGATCTACCTGCCTGTGTGTGCCACCCCCGCCCAGCACAGGAAGCTATTTAGCATAAGAGTAGGAGGTAAACTGTTGAGGCGTAAGGTTTCTTTCATTCCTGTCTCCATAATACAGAGTTTAGTGAAAGGCAAAGTCTATAGGACACACTGAAAAGCTGTGACAATAAGCTGTTCCTTCTCAAATGATCCACAAACTGGATGGTTGTGATATGATTCTCATAAAGGATACTCCTGTTTGGGCTTCACTTTTTCTTTCAGAACCAAATTGGATGGTTTATCTTGTTCCTTTTCATACTCCTTGAAATCACTCTTGGTGTATTTCCCACCTATTTATTGAGAGGAAAAAAGAATTAATATCACATAATGAAACACTAACAAGTTTACAAATCACAAGATACACATTGGGAAGTAGAAAACGTGAAGAACAAATGAACCATAGCAAGCCTGTCTCTGCTGTTAGTTTAGTTCAAAGTAGAAGTCCAATTTCCTTGGTAATCATTTGCTGCCACCTACCGACATATATGAATATTACAACATCCATCTGAAACACCCACACTACATACTAGGTCCATGAACTACACTGCATTAAGCCAGCAGCTAACACTACTCCTAAATAGACATGTAATTTCCCCATAAACTCACAATTATAACAACATATAAAAAAAACACAAACAAGAGGCCAGTCTGGCCAAGAGTACAGGGACAGACACCATTCTGCTTTCCGCCATCACTTTTATAAAGAGCAAATCAAAACTCATTCTGGTGAGACTGGTGAGCCAGATGGAACAGGTTTCTCCTTCAACCACAGGAGAAGCTGACTCCTTAGCAATATGATCCAATGGTGAACTAAAAAGTTCTCTTGGAGGAACAGAGAAAAACATCCTCTCCCTAAGCATGGACTGAACATGAATCTGATTTATAAATGAGAAGACAGAGGGCGAGGCACTGGTTGGAACCTGCGTGTGCAGAAGAAACACATCATGGCTTCTGGAGAGGGGAGGCTGTTGGGAAGCAGCGATGGGAGGAAGAAAGGTCTTCACAGAGACCAGATATATATCTGGATTGTTTATAGGACTTAACAAAAGATACTGAAAAACTATCAATTCATTTTGACAAAGCATTCAAAAGGGCATTGGTCATGTATTTCTCGAGCAGGGAAGGAAACCCAGGAGAAACAGAGAGAGCACAGGCCCACGATCCAAGTCACTTCCTCCTCTCAGACGCCACAGCTTCCAGGGGGCCTTCCAGCTGTCGCCTCTCCTATTTCTCCCTCTTCTAAACCCTGCCATTCACCAAACAGCCCTGCTTATTTCTTACTTTTAAAATGCAGTAAAATCACGAGAAACAAATTATAACTGGTATAAAGTAATCTGGCTGGAGGGATGGCATTGCTCTTACAAAGGACCTGGGTTCAACTCCTAGAACCCACATGATGTCTCAGGTCCAGGGAATCTAATATTCTGGCCTCTGCCAGCACCAGGCATACACATGGTTCACATACATACAAGCAAAATATTCAGACATATAAAATAGAAATAAATAAATCTTTTAACAAAGAAAAGTTAAGCCTAATTTTCCTGGTAAAAATTAGCATCACATGTGAATAATTACTAAAGTGAAACCTTTTTTGTTGTTGCTGTTTTGGTTTTGGTTTTGTTTTCTGAGTCAGGGTCTTAACTATGTAACCCTGGCTGGCCTGGAAATGTCTATGTAAACTAATCTGGCCTGGAACTCATAGAGATTTGCTGCTCAACCCTAAGTGAGACCTTTTAAAAACACTGTAAAAAAACCTTTTTTTAAACTCAGCTAGGAAGCCGGGCAGTGGTGGTGCACGCCTTTAATCCCAGCACTCGGGAGGCAGAGGCAGGAGGATCTCTGTGAGTTCCAGGCTAGCCTGGTCTACAGAGAGAGTTCCAGGACAGCCTCCAAAGCCACAGATTGAAAACACAAAACAAAACAAAAACAAGCAAAAAACCTCAGCTAGGAATACAGTTGAGTGAAAGGACATACACTCAGCACCAGTGGGCTACTATGCTCAAATCTTAGCACATATGCACATACACACACATACAAAAAGTTCACAAGATAAAAAATTCACAACTAGGGTGGAGAGTCAATGCTTATAATCGTAGCACTCAGAAGACTGAAGCAGGAGGATGCTAAGTTTGAGGCCAAGTTAGGCTCAATAGCCTGGATGTGAGGCACAGTCCTCTCCTCACCTCCCAGCTTTTCTCTAAGTCCTGGTACCAGGCGACTGTCTGTCTCTCGGGCTCAGAGCCCTTGGCCCCACCCTTTGAGTGACAACTCACTGGGTGGCCTGTGCCTGTCTTGAAATCGACCCTCTCTGAATTCCTGGGACCATAGGAATTGCAGACCCTGGGGTCCTACTTCTCTGCCTCGCTCATGGGAGCTGTGTCATCGTCTACACCCCCTTGCTCCCACTGGGATGCTCTACACTGACCATTCCTAATCAGCTACTGCTGCAGGGCGACCAGCTGCTGGCCATAGAGCTGGAGGTACAAGGCTATCAAACATGTCTGGGTGATGCTGTGGTGATGGGAAAGGATCAAGTGCTTTCAGCCCTAGTAATGGCATCTCCTGAATAGCTTTAATATTTCTTTGTTAAATGATAACTAAAATATATGTTTATTTCATTTTCTTATAAAACTGAGAACTATCTTTCAAACTAAATAATATTCGTATAGTTTCCACTTAGTCCTTTTGTCATGCTTGTCTGTTTTTTTGTTTTTTGTTTTTGTTTTGTTTTACGAGACAGGTTTCTCTGTATTGTTTTGGAGGCTGTCGGTCCAGCCCAGCCTCGAACTCACAGAGATCCGCCTGCCACTGCCTCCCGAGTGCTGGGATTAAAGGCGTATGCCACCACCGCCCAGCCATGCTTGTCCCTTTTATAGACCTATTTTATGTAACATTTTGGGTCCTTGCTGGCCCCTCCTCCAACCTCTCTCTAGTTAAAAAAAATGTTTTTCAAGATGGGAATCTGTTACCACAATAGGATAGTGTTGAAATAAATTGGTGTAGTTCTTAGGTTTCTCACTCTTTGTCACCTGGTGGGTGATGCAATACCTAGAGCAGTAAAAATGGCTATTGACAATAGTATCCCCCCCAAAGATGAGCAACATCCCCTCCAGGTCAGCAGAACGTAGTCTTGAGAACACAGTATACTCATCCCCGCCTCACCTGCTACCCTTTCCTAACACCTTATCTTTTTATAATAAAAAGAGAGCAATGTTAGTATTCAGGCATCTGTACTGGCCTGTACTTGGGGTTCTGACAGGATACACCCTCAGCTGCAGCCACTAAGAGCACCACCTGTGCACAGTCACTATGTCCCCTTTTAAAAAGGCCCTGCCACCTCCCATCCTCCTCTCCCTCTCTCTGTCTGTTCCCCTCATACTCTTTCCCCCCTTTCCTCTCTCCTGCTGCTCCTGTCTCCGAAGGCTGGTCTCCTCCCTTCCCTCTTATTATGATCCCTTTCCCTAATTTAAAAAAAACAATAAACAACCCTCTGCTTGAACCCTGTCACGTGGCGTCTTTCTCTCGAACCACTTTTCTTAAATTACAACAACACTGAGTTTGTAATCTGCATCCCTTGAATTTTCCTTTTTAAAATGAGGAGGAAAAACACATATGCATGTGTATACAAAGAATGGCTATAGAAAGAACAGGCAACTGGTTACTTCTGGGAAGAGAAACTGTGTAGTAGAGAAATGGAAGAGAAGTGTATAAAACAAAACTTTTAAGAAGTTTGTATCTAAAAGGACCAAATCATCAAAGTCATAATTATGTAAGCAATAGATCGTGTCTTCAGTGGGTACTTTGAAATAGCTCACAATATAGGCAAACATTAAAGAGAAGGGTGTTTACATCCATCAACACATATATACACACATTCTAGACAGCAGCTTTATAAAATCCTAAGTGACCTGAATTCTATTAATTAACATTTCCCTTCATTAACAGCACAAAACTAAAGCACTTACTTACACACACACACACACACACACACACACACACACACACACACACACACACCCCTGAAGCACAGCATCAACAAAAGGAAATAAACTAACATACCTTTCCCTTTCCATTTAACCTTTGCAACAGACTGGCTAAAATCCACATGTATTCTCCTGTCATCTATGAGTACATTATCCATTTTGAAGAATGCTTTCTCACAGTCTTCTTCCTGTTAGTGATTACAAAAACTCAAGCATCAATGTTTATAGGAAAGATGTCTGCAACTAGAACAAATAGTGCAAATACAAAAAGGTTATTACTAAAACTAATATTCAAATGCTTCTTATATATCAGATACTAAAAGCACTGCATCCACTATACCAATTAACACTGGTAATAACCTTCCCAGGGTCCACCTATTATCTCCATTATCTCACCGAGCAAACAGAAGATTAGTGAGGTACAGTACAGAAGTAACCAAAGGTCGGAGCCAGAAGGTATGAGTAGTAAAGACACATACACTTACCAACTGGATGATGCAAGTCCACAATTCTAGTTACTCAATACTCAAAATATTATATCCCCAAAGTGAATGCTGTCTTCATATATTTGGTGTTAAAAGTAATTTATCAGGAGTATGGGTTGGCTAAACAGTAGGACATTTGCTTAGCACACACAAAGAACTGGGTATGTGTGTGTGGTGGGGGAATCTCTAGAACTAAACAAAAAACTCTGGCAAGACAGGCAGTGGTGGCACACACCTTTAATCCCAGCACTCTAGAGGCAGAGGCAACTGGATCTCTGAGTTCAAGGCCAGTTTGGACTACAGAACTAGTTGCAGGATAGCTAGAGCTACATAGAGAAACCCTGTCTCAAAAAACAAGAAACCAAAGCAAACCAAAAACAAACCCTGGAAATTTGACAGCAGTATCTGACCTAATGGAGGACTTCGGCCAATTTCAAAATCAACTTAGCATGACTAGTCATTGTTTCAGTGCAGAGATACTTTTCTAATTGACCACAGAGTGCTGGCCTGATGAAATGCTCCACAATCAACAAATGGAATGTGGATGTCTGTCTATCACCACACACACAGTACATATTCAGAAGCATATAAAACGGTCTGTGCAACACAAGAGCCTTTGTTTTACTACGTTTCGTTTTTGAGGCAGAGTCCCAGTCTTGCACATGCTAAACAAGCACCCTACAAACCAAGCCACATCCTTAGTGAAAACGACATATTTCTCTTAGAAACTTCATGAGTTCTTGATCCATTCTGACATCTGAAGGGTGATGCATTTCAACTGAGTACTAATTAATTTTCTTCTAGATGCTTGGAAACATTCTTTGTCTGTTTACAACTTGCTAGAAACAATTCCAAGAGGAACAGATAAAATAATTAGTTATAACCACACTTATTTACCATGTGTGTCAAAGAATTACATATCATAAACTCTGCTTACTGCTTTTAGAGTACTGTCAGGCACCTGGTAAACAACTAATTTTGGGTCTAATTAGTTAGTTTATTTATACTTGGATATGCATAAATCAATCCATCACTATACTATTTCCACAAAGAGAAACTTCCCAGATCTTTTTTATAGGACAGTAATCGAAAACAATACACTTAAAACCTAGAAATTTCTTAAAAAGTGAAATTGGATCAAAGGTGTACAAGCTAATATCATTTTCTGAAAATCCCTCTTTGCCTTCCAAAAAACTGAATTTTTGCTAGACCTGTGGCCAAGTTAATAACACATCTTAACATAACAGATAATTGAGAACTATGTACTCAATCTGCTATCCTACTATGTTCTCAGTCTGTTAAGTGTAACCTGACTTTATACCACGCCCTTGGATTTCACATGTAATCGCCATTTACAGCCAAAGCTAAATGTGTAGCTTTAATCTTTAACTACATTCTCAATTGCCCTGACCCAGAATAATATACACAGATGGGGGCGCGCGCGCGCGTGTGTGTGTGTACTCAACTTTAAGGCAAGTGAAGTAGTGCACACCTTTAATCAGATACACAGGAGGCTGAGGAGGAAGATAATTAGTACAACGTCAGTCAAGGCAACACAACAAGAACCCATGCTTGAAACATAAGTAAAAGAAACAGAACCTGGCATATTTAGACTATGACATACCTTTTCAAATTCAATAAAAGCATAACACAGGGATTCTCCTGTTTTCCAATCTCGAATAACTTCACAACTGAAAAGAAAATTTTTTTGAAAAGTCACTTAAAAAAAAAATCAAAGAAAAAAGAAACCATTTGTTTTATTTCTTCAGACCAGAACAAAATAATCCAGTTATTAAACTCATAGATGCAAAGTTTCCAGGCACAATTCTATTTAAGCACACAAAGATCATCAATCTAGTAACTGAATTTCCTAAACTCTATTGCAAATACACCAGCTAGACTACAGTGGCGGAGGTGAGGGCACATTCCCTTTTAACAAAAATAACCTGTTAATTCTTTTCTTTTTAAAATTATTTTACTTATTTTCACATTTCTGTGTTTGATCTGGTACTCACTATGAAGCCCAGGGAATCTCAAACTCACAGTAATCTTCCTCCCTCAACCTCCTATCATGTCCAGTAAAACCCGTAAATCATAAAGTCTTTTTTACTTCAAACATAAAAGACTTAATGGGTATCTTTTACATACATAAGTGCTTAGTATGTTCATTCTTTCTAATTTGATGTGAGGACCCACTATGTAGCTGGAATTCACTGTGTAGACCGGGTTGGTCTTGATCATAGAGATCTGGCTGCTGCTGTCTCCTAAGTGCTGAGATTAAAGGCACGGGCCAGCACAGTTTAGGTTCACACTTTTGGTTTTAAAGTAAACGAGGCTCAAATACTGTAAGTACAGTTACCATCCAGAGTTAATTCACCAAACAATAAAGGGAAAAAGCCAAAAAGATGGAGCTGAAAGTACCTGACTTGTCTCTCACCAAGGATCATATGAACCATTTCAAAAACATTAAATGAAAGGAGATTCTAAACACAGGATATATTAATCAGTTAGAAAATAACCTTCTTTGACTAGCTTTGCATACGTTGCATTAATAATAGAGTGGAGGGGCCATGAGATGGTTCAGAAAGGCACTTGCTCCTGGGACTGAGGACCTGAGTTCACTCCCTGGCACCCACACTGGTGAGGAGGGGAGATGCTGGGAGGTGGAGGCCCACACCTTTCATCTCAGCACTTGGGAGGTAGAGGTACATGGATCTCTAAGTTTGAGAACAGCCTGGTCTACAGTTCAAACTCCAAGACAGCCAGGGCTACACAAAGGAATCCTGTTTCAAAAAACCAAAAAAAAAAAAAAAAAGAAAGAAAGAAAGAAAGAAAGAGAACATCTCCTGCAAGCTGTATATATTTTCTAAAAAGCTAGTACCAGTTTATTTTTAAAATAATAATAATGATGATGATAATGGCTGGAAAGATAGCTCAGTGGTAAGAGCATTTGCTGCTCTGACCCAAGTTCCACTCCAGCAGCCCACTAGGTGACTCACAACTATCTCTCTAGTTCCAGGAGCTGGTCCCTCTTCTACCCTCCAAGGACACCTACACACATGTGGCATATACTCATGAAGACACCCACATACTTTTTAAAATTAATAATAAGTATTTAAAATAAAATACTCGCAGGGTGGTGGTGGCGCACACTTTTAATCCCAGCACTTGGGAGGCAGAGGCAGGAGGATCTCTGTGAGTTCCAAAACAATACAGAGAAACCCTGTCTCAAAAAACAAGAAAGAACAAAAACAATAACAACAACAAAAAAACTCAATGATAATAATATAGGAAAAATTAATCAAATGAAAAAAATTCTAACTGGGGGAGTCTGACAGTGTGCAGTGATGTGAGTTTGTAATCCCAGCACTAGAGAGGTGGATCCTAGGACTCAGTGTGGCCAGCCAGCACAGTCTACTTGGTGACTACCAGTCAGCAAGAAGAAACCTGCTTCAGAAAAAAGAGTAGACACTGCTTGAGGAAGATACCCAAGGTTGTCCTCTGGCCTCTATACATCTGCACATGCAAAATAAAAATAAAATCCACAACAACAAAGCACGGTTTTTTGTTTTGCGGTATGGTAATATAAACTTGTAATTCCAACATTCATAAGTGTGGAAGATAGGTTCAAGGCCAGAGTAGTACAACAGTGGTATTATCTTAAGTGTACTTGCCCTCGAGAGTTCTTACGCGCATGCATGTATGCATGCATGTGTGCAAACACACACACACACACACACACACACACACACACACACAGCTGGACACGTAGCTTAGTTGATCAAGTTTGCTGGATGCAAGAAGTCCTAGGCAAGATCCAGAGAACCTCAGAAACTGAGTGTGGTAGACACGTACAATCCTAGCACTCAGAAACTGAGTGTGGTAGACACGTACAATCCTAGCACTCAGAAACTGAGTGTGGTAGGCACGTACAATCCTAGCACTCAGAAACTGAGTGTGGTAGACACGTACAATCCTAGCACTCAGAAACTGAGTGTGGTAGGCACGTACAATCCTAGCACTCAGAAACTGAGTGTGGTAGGCACGTACAATCCTAGCACTCAGGAGCGCAGGAGGATCAGAAGTTCCAAGTCAACCTTGGCTACATGAAAATTTAAAAATTATATGTAAAACTTGGAAATTTTAATGCTGACACAGACTGCTAATAATTTTAGGAACTAATTTAAATGAGATAAACATTTTAAATATTAAGTAAGGTTGCTGAGAGTTTATACAGTAGGCAAATTGTTTAACTCATATATTTCATAGTGAAAATGTGTTAAGAATTTAAGAGTCACTCAAATATTTAATTTGTGCACTTGTCTGAAAACACTTTTCTTTCTCACTGTTGAAACACTCACATATACAAATCACCAGTATGAAATTCTCCAAAGGGACGGGGAATATGTCTCAGTGGCAGAGAGTATGCTTAACAGGCATGATGCCCTAGGTTTGATCCTCAGTCCCACAAAGAAATAAAAACAAAAATTTTTAAACTCACTCAGAATTGACAACCTCAGCAAAAATGTGTGATTAGAAATCCTCTACTGAGGGGGCTGGAGAGGTGGCTCAGAGGTTCAGAGCACTGGCTGCTCTTCCAGAGGTCCTGAGTTCAATTCCCAGCAACCACATGGTGGCTCTCAACCATCTACAATTCAATCTGGTGCCCTCTTCTGGTGTGTAGACAGAACACTGTATATGTAATAAATAAATAAATCTTTTTAAAAGAAAGAAAACCTCTGCTGAGTGTGGTGGCATGGGTCTTAATTCCTAGCACTGGAGGGTCTCTATGAGTTCAAGCTCTTCGCGGTCTGTATATTATATTGCTGGCCAACCAGGGCTACAAATGAAACCCTGTTTCAAACACACACACACAAAAACCAAACAAACACTCACACCAACCAATTAATGCCTAGATATTCCCAAATCCTTTCTTATTAATCCTGAGATTACCTTCTTATTGGCCCAAATCTTGAGAATATTATTTCCAGGTCCTCATCTGTGGTCACTGGATTCAATTTACACACAAACAACACATTTTCTGGAGGTTTAATATCTGCATCGGGTAGGTCTCCCACCTAAAGTTACAAATAGTCAAGCATATAAATCATTATAAATTTACATCATCAACTGTAAGTTCAGGATGAAAAAAAAAATCTAAAAAATATTTCAAAGGCTAGAAAAATGACTCCCAGGGTAAAAGTGCTTGCCATCATGCTCAATGACCTGAGTTCAATTCCAAGGACTCAGATATGTTAGAATACAGTTCAAGAATGGAATGCTATGAGATTTCTGAGTGCTTGTAAGAAAATTCCAAGAAACCAAGACAAGACTCTGTGATCTCAGTTTCTTCAAAATATGAAATTTGTTTCAATTAAAATTTTTCATTCAAAAACTATTTTTTCCTGGTATTAATAATATTAATAGCTAATGTTTTTACCTAACTTGATACTTCCAAATCGTTACTACTAATTCTTCAAGCAATACCACAATTTCCATTCATTCATTTACTTTAAAAATTTATTTATATTTTAGACAGAGTCTTACTGTAACTCAGACTGGACTCACACTTGTGGTCCTCCTATCCCCACCTTCTGAGAATTGAGAGGACAGGCCTATGCCACCACAGCAGGCACAGTTTCCACTTAGGGACAAGTACAGTGACATCAAAAGGGGTATAGCTAGGATATGAATCCAGATTCACCCCAGTTTCAAAGGTCCCAAACTATCCAGTTTTTCTTTCTTTAAGTATTTGATACGTTATTTTTTAAACAGATGTGAAGTACAGGTTATGAAGCACAGCAATAAAAACCACTGGGGCCAGTGCAGCGGGGAAAGCACCTGCCAGCTGATGAACTAAGTTAGGTCCCCGGGGAAGCAGAGAGCCAACTCCTTCCTGCACACATTGTCCTCTGACCTTCACCCGTACACCCAACATACAACCACACACAAAATAAAAATAATGCATTTTAGAATTAATGAATGAATGAAATAAAAACTGCCGTTGTCCTTGCTTCTCTCACAAAGATCACTTTTTCTTTTTTTTTAGATTTATTTATTTATTTATCATGCACACAGTGTTCTGCTTGCATGTATGCTTGCACTCCAGAGGAGGGCACAAGGCCTCATTATAGATGGCTGTGAACCAACATATGAATGCTGGGAACTGAACTCAGGTCCTCTGGAAGAACAGCCAGTGCTCTTAACCTCTGAGCCATCCCTCTAGCCCGACACACCCCGCCCCACACACGCAACTTTTTTAAGGTTTTGTTTTGATTTTTTTTTTTTTTTGAGGCAAGGTTTCTCTGTGTTGTAACAGTCCTGGCTGTCCTGGAACTCACTTTGTAGACCAGGCTAGCCTGGAACTCAGAGATCTGTCTGCCTCTGCCTCCCGAGTGCTGGTATAAAGGCGTGTGCCGCCGCCACCACCACCACTCATAAGAGCACAAACTTTTGGCTACTCCTTTTCATAGTCTAAGATGCTTACCACAAACATCATTAAGCAATATACTATTTAGTTTTGTTTGTTGGTGAATTTTTGAAAAATATAATTAAGTGGAATTATAATACCTAATACTTTCTATACTATTTTTCAATATGGAACCACAGTTCCTACATAGTTTTTCCTCTTAAAGTCTCAACTTTACGCCTTTTACTATACACAGACTAAAGTCAAGATCAAAGTCAGCTGCTGCACTACACAGAGCACTCTGTAGTGCACTTGCTACACTTCCTACTAAAGACTACAGAGGGCAGCAGTGAGATAAAACCATGATGATGTATTTCCCACAAGCATTTTGAGAGCAACCTATTCTGTTATATGTATTTGAAAACTCTGAGATGATCATGTAAAGAATCTCCTGGTGAATAAACACACCAAAAAGAAAATCTTGAAATTCAGAAACAGAAGAAGCTACAGAGCCATTAATCTGTTCGACATTTCTGAAGCTGGTCAAAGGCACCAACAACGTATCAACTACACCCTGTGAGAAGTATCACAGTCAGGCACGGTGGCACACTCCTGGCTGGAGTCTAAGCTACTTGGTATGCTGATGAGCCTAGGAGACTGAGACTAACTTGGGCAGCACGGTAAGACCCTGTCTCAAAAGAAAAAACAAATCAATAAAAATCACAAATGTGCAAAGAAATAAGAAAGAAGTTAATGGGGGGGGGGGAAACCCCACAAAACTTGCAGGAGACTGGGAGAAATGGCCCAGTGGTTAGGAGCATGCACTGCTCTTTCAGAGAACCTAATTTTGGTTCCCAGAATGTATGTCAGGAGACTCAAACCATCTGTAACTCCAGCTCCATGAAGACCTGACACACCTGGCCCCCATGGGCACCTGCAGTTACATGCAAACACACATACACATAATAAACTGGGCTAATATAGCTAGCCAAAGAAATGTGACTCATTATAGAGAATTAAATGATTAATCAAGCCAAAATATTCTCCAATATACATAAAATGCAATCTAATAAACACTGTTTAGGGGGCTGGAGAGATGGCTCAGAGGTTAAGAGCGCTGGCTGCTCTTCCAAAGGTTCTGAGTTCAATTCCCAGCAACCACATGGTGGCTAACAACCATCTGTAATGAGATCCGGTACCCTCCTCTGGTGTGCAAACATACACATGCAGGCAGAGTATTGTATACATAATAAATAAATCTTTAAAAAATGTTTAAAAATTATATGAAAACTAAAATTCAAGTAATACTTATAACTTAAAAAAACATCTATTTTTTACTTTCTATTTTTACATTTATGTGTGTGTGTATGTTTGTGAATGTAGGCACATGCATGCCATTGTGTACATATAGAGGTCAGAGGAAAACTCTCTCCTTTCAACATGTGTGCTCTGGTGACCCAACTTAGGTCATCAGGCTTGTCAGCAAAGTGCCATTGCTCATCACCTCACCTAACCCCTCCCAGTTTTTAAAAAGGCACTCAGTAATTTATGGAAAAACAGAACCAAACTCTATTTTCATGTATTGTGGCCTGCAAAATGTAATCCAGGAAAAAAAAACTCACTAATTTTTACTAGTTTATTATCACAAAGCAGACAAACTCCTAAGAATGTGTTATATAAGTTACATAACATACATTGCATAATGTGAGTTACATAACAACTTTTTGACCAAAATTATCTTACCATCTCTAGAAGAATAGCTTGAGTTTTAGCCTCTTTCTCTGCCTTTATTTCTTCTACTTCTTCAGCTGATCTTCCTTTGAAATCATCAATTTCTTCATCTGCTCCTATTCGACCACTCTGTAAGATAGAAGTTAAAAATCTGAGAGTCATGAAAGATATCATGTTTTACTCTTGGCCTATCAAACATTACAGAATAGAAACTTACAAGCCTCTGGGCACTTATCAAATTAATTCTATAATATTTGCCAGACTTGGCTTCTGACTTATTGTAAAATCAAAAGAAATGTTTATATAGATACTATTATCCAACTAAGTGCTCAGTAGAAATGATACACAACTAAATTCAGCTTTGAGAAAGCCTCATGAACACCTTAAGTTTACACTTTAAAATGCCTAAGAGAATGCTCTCTGCGTTTCACAGAAGTGCTTGGCTCCAGCCTGGCTCCAGAACACCCCTACTTAAAAAGTGTTTTATAAGATGGTCTTTCAGTTTGACCTTGAGGCTATTTTTGAGAGTTAGGGATAAGAAAAACTTCCCAACCACTGCTTATATAAGGTTTGAGAACTAAGACTTCTGGTGAAATAGAAACTAAAAAAAGAAATAAAGGCAATAATGAAACAACTATAAAAATAAGCATCTCTATGGGTGAGGAAAGAATTCGAAACTTGTTCTAGTATAATAGATAAGATAAGCAATAGAAGTAAATGTTTTAATATACCTATACAAGAAGGGGCTACGAGCTGGGTGTGGTGAAGAAACTCCTTTAATTCCAGCATGTGGTAGACAGAGGCAGGTGGATCTTTGTGAATTCGAGGCCAGCCTGGACTACAAAGCTAAATTTCAAGCCAGGCAAGGCTACATAGTGAGACTCTGTTTCACAAGAAAACAAACAACACTAAGGCACTACTTACGTCTAATTGTTCCCTTGTAGGCTCTGGTGATCGATCGGGAATTAATAAATCAGGAGGGTCATCAAATGGATCATCTAAAATCACTGTATGATTTATCCTTACAAAACAAATCCAAGTCAAATGTTATTTATTTCAGAATCCATACTTACTTTCACAGATTTTAACATTTAAGTACTCCTAATGTCCAAAGACTCCAGTGCATGGGTTTTCCTGGCCTATAGTAATATACCTACAGTATACTTTTATAATGGGCAGTTCTGTATTTCTTTTGACATTATTGCTCTGCATTACTTTATGATATAAACTAAGCTAGGCATGATGGCTGGTACTGTAATCCCCAGCACTCAGGAGGTCAAGAGAAGAGAAATTCACGTCTGAGGCTAGCCTGAGCTAGAGAGAAAGTTCCAAGTAAAGTGGGTTACAGAGTAAGACCCTGACTCAAAATACACACAGAAAGAAGAAAAGAAAAAAGGAAATTTCTAAACCTTGTTACTTGTGCCCTATTACTTTAATAATTTAGCTAAAAAAAAAAAAACAGAAATGAGTAATTCCTATCAATATAACAATTAGCACAAGAGAAAAAATATAAAAGCTACTTTTCACGAGGACTCTAGTGATCTCATATTAATTCACACTTTAGAATTATTCTGAAACTAGTTGTGACGATTAATTTCAACTGTCAACATGGCAGGATCTAGAAAAGGAGTCTAGATTAAAGTGGTTCGTGGGAATGCCTGTGAAGGATTTTCTTTTTTCTTTTTCCAAAACAGGGAGGGTTTCTCTGTGTAGCCCTGGCTTTGCTGGAACTCATTCTGTAGAGCAGGCTGGCCTCAAACTCAGAGATCCACCTGTCTCAGCCTCCCATGTCCTGGACTTAAAGGCATGCGTCACCACTTACTGGTTTACTGGATGGATGGACCACCCTGGACACAGGAGGCGCTATCGCATGGTGGACTGAATGAAGGGACAGAGGGAGCTGGGCACAAGCACTTCTTGCCCTGCTTCATCACTGTGGATACCATGTAACCAGCTGCCTCAAGTTCCTGCCACTTTAATTACCCCTTACTTCATCCCTACTACAGCCTTAAGCTGTGAACTGAAATAAACCCTTTCTTCCTTAAGTTACTTTTTGTTGTTTTTCGAGACAAGGTTTCTCTGTGTAGCTTTGGAGACTGTCCTGGAACTCACTGTGTAGACCAGGATGACCTCAAAGAGATCCACCTCCTGAGTGTTGGGATTAAAGTCATGTGTACCACCGCCCAGCCTTAAGTTACTTTAGTCCGAGTATTTTATCACATAAAAATAAAAAGAAAATGGGATTTTAGTTCTATGTGTAGAAGTCTCATTCATGCTATTACATGTTCAATATCACAATGTTAAAACATTCTAGTCTACTAAGATAGTAAAGGTAAACACACCTGATATCTTGATATGGCACAAAATCCTTGTCTACAAAGGTCTCATTGATTTTCTTAACTATGTCCATGCCTTCTGTCACTTCACCAAACACTGTATGAACACCATCAAGGTAATCTAGATTTTCTCCTGTAGTGATAAGAAACTATACCAAAAGGCACATAATAAATACTTTTTAAAAAATATAACTCTGAAATAATATACAACTCTAAAGAATACACCAAGACTTACATTTAATGTATCAATTATTGTACAATTATTTCTAGAACTAAATAAGAAACACAGACTGTGTTTCTAACAGATGTTCCCCTGATCAACAACATAGGTGTGGTGTGGTCTCATGTGTACACAATGCCCATGGAAGCCAGAAGAGGTCATCAGATGCCTTGGAACTGGAGTTTCAGAGCATTGTGAGCCATCATGTGGATGCTAGGAATTAATGTGGGTCCTCTAGAAGAGCACTTAGTGCTCTTAACCACTAGCCATCTCTCTGAATGTAGAAAAGAAATAATTTGATATTCCCCCCCCACCCCGAAAACTGTCTGTTAGTACATTCTCTCATTACTGAATGACTTGAAAAGATAACTTTGTAACTTCCTTTCAGGTCTTCATGCATAAGCAAAGCTCACCTCCCATCCATGTCCTCACCTGAGATCCATGTTGATCACTGCCATTGTTCACCATGGACACAGTGCCTTTCTTCTTGTGCTTAATCCTTGGCACTTTTTCTGCCTCAAAAAAGCTTGCTTGATCACCATACAGTTGTCTGAAAATATACAATAAAGTTATAAAACTTAAATACTCTCAAAATGAAATACAGATACTGTATTGGTGTAATTGTGTCTTCATAGATAGATATCCCACTGTATCAAATACACCTGTCTTCTTACAGGCATTCTGGGAACCCAGCGAACTACCCTAGAATTTGAATGATATTTTACCATGAAGATTGAACTATAGCAATTATACTTTGCTCTTATTTAAAAATAAACAGTTGAGGCCTGGCAGTGGTGGTGCACACCTTTAATCCCAGCATTCAGGAGGCAGAGGCAACCACATCTCTGTGAGTTCCAGGCTAGCCTGGTCTACATAGTGGGTTTCAGGACAGCCAAAGCTATACAAAGAAACCCTTTCTCAAAAAAAAAAGCAAAAAGTAAAATAAAATAAAAGGTTGAATATGATAGTAGACACCTTTAATTCCAGCACTTGGGAAACATAAGCAGGCAGATCTTTGTGAGTTCAAAGCCAGTTGGTGCTGCAGAATATTTGTTACATTGTATGAAGCTGTGTCACTGTGTTTAATAAAGAGCTGAATGGCCAGTAGCTAGGCAGGAGAGAATAGTTGGGCCTTCCAGGGAGAGACACCAGGAGACACTGAAGAAGTAGGAATACAGTACAGAGGAGAGGTAACCGAGTCACGTGGCAAAATGTAGATTAATAAAAACAGGTTAAGTTATAAGAGCTAGTTGGGAGAAAGCATAAGCAAAGGCCAAGCTTTCATAACTAATAATAAGTCCCTAAGTTGTTATTTGTGAGCTAGGTCCAAAGGAAAGTCTGACCACAAGTTGGGTCTATATTGTGAAATCCAGGCTAGCCAGGGCTACACAGTGAGACTTCTAAATTAATAATAAGTGTAATAAATAAATAAAGAGGGCTGGTGACATGACTCAATGGATAAAGGTGCTTATAGCCAAGCAGACAACTGGAGTTATGATCCCAGAATTCAGATGGTAGAAAGAAAGAACTGATTTCCACTGATCTCCATGTATACATACATGTACACACACATAAATAAATGTTTTAAAAACCATTTTTTAAAGAATAAGTGTACTGACCTCCACACATGCCATGCATGTCTACACACAGACATACACACATAATAATTGAATCAATAAATAAGTAAATACACATATAAACCTGTACTTGGAAGGCCGAGGCAGGAGGGTTGTAACAAGTTTGAAACCAGCATGTGAAACAGTGAATTCCAGTTCAGCCTAGACTAAAGTGAGATCCTGTCTCATAAAACCAAATAAAAGATATGAACTGAGACAGAAGTGATGAGGGATATCTATAATCCAAAATTTAGCTGGTTGAGACATAGCTCAATCAGGAAAATGTATGTTTCAAATGCACAAATTGCAGCTTCAATTGCTAGCATGTAACACCAGGCATAATGGTGCATGCCTCTAATCCCAAGACTTGGAAAATGGAGGCAGGAGGACCAGTTTAAGCCCATTTCAGCTTGTTAGAGATAAGTTCAAGGTCAGCCTAGGCTACATAAGATCCAGTCTCTAAATACATACACCCATACTGGGTTGGGTTTTTTGTTGCTGCTGTTGTTGTTTAAATTGCACTAGAGTTAAGAGTTATCTGGAAAGAGAAGCATAAGTTGAGAAAATGGTTCCTTCAGGTTGTCTGAAGACAAGTATATGGAACATTTTCCTGATTAATGACCGATGTAGTGAGCTCAGCCCAGAGAGAGCCAGCGCCACCCCCGACAAGTCATGAGCAGCAGCAAGCCAGTAACAAGCGTCCCTCACGTCTTCTGCTTCAGTTCCCACCTTACGTTCCAGTCCCGACTTCCTTTAGTAACGGAGAATTACCTGAAGTAAACACACTCTTTCCTCCCCAAATTTGCTTTTGATCATGGTGTTTTATCACAGCAACAGAAACTCTAACTCAAATATACACCTAAGAACTTACCCAAATATAGACTCTCCTCCACGGCCAGTCCCTGTAGGATCTCCTGTTTGTATGATAAAATCCCTCTACAATACACAGAATTATTTGTTAATTCACAGTTTGCTAGATGTTTCCAATAGCAAAGAGCATGACTAATATCTACCAACTTACCTGTACATTGTGAATAAGGCAATAATTGTAATATTTTATTTTGCACAACTTCAGAAAATTCAAGCAAGCTGAAAGACAGTGAAAACTAAATTTATTACCAGAAAGCAAAACTTCAGTTTTAAACAAATTTGTAAAAGCATAATTAGTGCAATTTAATCTCTAGATTCCCATTCTTATTAAAAGGAAAACAAAGTTCTGGTGAGGTGGGTCAGGAGATAAAGGTGCTTGCTGCCAAACCTGAAAACCCAAGTTCAATCCCCAGAGCCTACATGTCAGAAACAGAACCAACTCCCAAAAGCTGTCCTCTGACCCTGTAAGCATTCTGTGGAACACACTCACTCACATGCAAACAATAAATAAATCTTAAAAGAAAAAAAGTAAGCCCAAAGCCATAAAAGGGGGCACTACGCCTCTTTAAAAGTCCTCTTCTCTTTGAGAGTGTAGCTACTGGCATCATGTTTGACACACCGCAGTGGATGGGTCCACACCCATGCACATGTGGGCAGTCCCAGCTAGAGTGAAGATGGGAGGAAGACATATTGGAGGGGATGTGGAAGGAGTTACAGAGGAGCTGGGCGTTTATATGCTCATATTTCACTGGATAGTACACATGGATAGTATACATGGATGAAAGTCTCAAAAATAAAGAAAAATTAAAAGGTAGTATATTTTCTTAAGACCTTTTGAACATCAGAGCTAATGTTGGAAATTAGCAATTTTTAAATTATAGATTGTTTTTTAAGAGGAAAGGTACAGATGATAACTATGATGAAAAGAAATCTAGCAGGACATATGAAAAGTGAATGCAGATTATATAAACTAGAAATAAAAACACCTTTGGAACTTTTGTTCATTTTACAATTAGTACAAAGTATTTCAAGCCAGGAGGTGGTGGCGCACACTTTTAAAGAGGCAGAAACAGTTCAAGGACAGCCTGGTCTACAGAGAGAGTTCTAGGACAGTCTAGATTACATAGAGAAATCCTGTCTCAAAAAAACAAAACAAAAAAAGAATTTCACAGGCTGGGGATATACCTCAGGTACAGTAATTACCAAGCATTCCTGACACCTTGAGTTCAATCCCCAGCAGCACACCTGCTTGGTGTGCTCTGCTAAAGATGTGAGCTCTCAGCTCCTAGTCCACTGCCATGTCTGCTCCACCATTGCACACTGTCCCTCTGGAACAGTAATCCAAAACAAACTCTTCCATAAACTACTTTTTAGTCATGGTGTTTTATCACAGCAACAGAGGAGCCTTCTACATGCTAGGTATCACAAACATTAAATTATGGTTCATGTTCTTGAAGAACTAATCACAGATGGTCTTAAGGCACTAAGAAACCAGACAGAAAATATCATGCATGAGGATCCTTGTCCTCAACAAATTTATATTTATGAGACCAGGGTCATAACTAGGTATGATGGCACATGCCTGAGGAGAGTCAGGAGAAAAATGAACATAAGACCAGTCTGGGTCGGGCGTTGGTGGCGCACGCCTTTAATCCCAGTACTTGGGAGGCAGAGGCAGGTGGATCTATGTGAGTTCGAGGCCAGCCTGGTCTACAGAGTGAGTTCCAGGACAGCCTCCAAAACAAAACAGAGAAACCCTGTCTCAGAAAACAACAACAAAACCAAAACAAAAAGACCAGTCTGGGATATACAATAAGTCTCAAAAGCTGACAGGAAAAACAATACAAATGAAGCTCCTTACAATTAAACATAAAGTAATGACACTCAGTATTTCTGATACTGTCATTCGAATAGTAAATTTTTGTTTTTTTTTTTTTTCAAGACAGGGTTTCTCTGTGTAGCCCTGCTTGTCCTGGATCTCATTCCACAGACCAGGCTGGCCTTAAAGTCAGAGATCCACCTGCGTCTGCTTTAAGTGCTAGGTTGAAGGCACGCACTACCACACCTGGCTCTACAAAATGATTTTTTTTTAAAGAAAGTTTTAAAATACCACAAGGGTTCAAAAGAAGTAATGTTTATAGCTGGGGAAGTTAGAAGACTACATGGAGTCCTAAAAGAATTTGACTGTCACATATCAACACATGGTATGTCACAGATACAACAAATTTATGTATTAATTAAAAATACATATCCTAGAAGAGAAATTGGAGACTGGTGAGGTGGCTCAGTGGAGACTGGTGAGCTTACTCTCAAACCCAGCGACCTTCATTTAATTCCTGGAACCCACAAGGTAGAAGGAGAACAGACTCCCAAGTTGCCCTCTTATTTCTATGGCAAATCTGCAAGCGCGAACACGCACACACAGAAAATAATAAGTAAAATGTATATTTTTAAAAGATAAAAGAGAGTTGGGCATTGGTGATGCATGATACACCCTTAGTCCCAGCACTCTGGAGGCCAGTCTGCCATGGAGTTAGATCCAGGACAGTCAGGGCTACACAGGGAAACCCTGTCTCAAAAAACAACACAAAACAAAAACTGAAAAGAAAGGAAATTGGACTGGCAGAGAGTTAGGGAAAATGAGAAAGATGAGGGTAGGGACACTGCTCAACGTTAGTGCTTAGCATGCAGGAGGGCCTGGGTTAGGTTCTCAGACATGTGCTGCCACACCTGGCCCAGTTATGCTTGTTTCAGTTATTTTCTCTTATAAACACATACTGAAACAATTGCAGATTAAATAAATCCAGTGGAGCTAGGGGGTGCTGTAAATGAAGCAAAATTAGCTATGTGTTGACAACTTGTAATGAAATTAGACATGGGTACTTAAGATTTCATTTACTGATTATTTTTACTTGTTTTTTTAAAAAAATTTTCCCAAGCAGGATTTCTCTGTGTAGCCCTGACTGTCCAGGAACTTGCTTACTGGGATCAAAGGCATGTGCTACCATACCTGGCTTGCTTAAATTTTTTCAGCAAGTAAAACAAAACAAAAAAGCAATCTGGACATTTGGATATGCTTACTATTGACAAGTAGGTATACACATAACTAGACACCCAATCACTCTCCTTCAAATACACATACACAGGTTGACACGTTTTTGCTGCCCCAAGCTTTCTTTGTGGAACCCCTGCTTGCTAATAATGTATAACTCTTTCTCTGCTTCAGGAGTGCACAACTCCAGGGGAGGAAGTTCATTCATTATGTAAAGTGCTGCTCTACAAGCAGAGTGAGTGTCAAAGGAATTCAAGGAAAAGGAAACATAAAATCAAGAGATAACAATACAATTCCAAAGAGCATCCTTGCAGCCCTCAGATCCAGTCACCCTTACGTATCCAAGCTTATCCCAGCAACAGAAGGCAACTGAACACTTTGTTTAAGCTCCCTAGAGTTACGTTTCTATCCCTTGACAGCAATACATCCTACATATTACTCACTGCACCAAACCACTAGTACACGTTCCAATGGGCAGATGCTGTGCCAGGTTCTTGAGATAATGGAGATATTAAGGTACAGTTCCTACTCTCCCTGCAGCACATTGCTGAGAGGAGATAGCCAGGCACATAGTTAAGTGCATCAAATAAAATGAATGCCATTGTGATTTATGAGACCATCGCAGGCAGAACAGAAGAAACAGGTTAACTTTGATCTTCTGAGCCTTGCACAGAAGAGCTTGTGTTTTATCTGAGATCTGAGTAGTCAGGAACTTTCCCCTAGGATAAGAGTGGAGAGGAACGTGGGCAGTGGCAACAGTAAGAAGCTGTTAGACTGTTGGAGAAAGTGAAGTGTTTGTGCATGGAGGGGAGAAACAGTTGAGCATGGGAGAAGGTGTGTGTGGCAGAGGCACTCTCTGTGAGTTCCTTCCGTCCTGTGGTAATCTCTACATTCCGCAGAGGGAGAATGACACTGGTTGCGGCTAATCTCTCCCGGCCTCCCGATTCTCCCAACGGATACAGTCCCCACACAGCTAGCTGCCTATTATCTTTTCAAGGCTAGTGCGCCACACTATAACCCTTCTTCAAAACCTTCCAATGCTGTGACATGGAAGACGCGTAAGACTATGAAGGACCTGACACACCAGTATCTAACCTGACTGAAAATCAGGGGCAACTGTTTCATTCCACTTACCAATTCGTTCCGGCCATGCCCAATCTCTTGCCATGACCAGAAAAAAACTCCAAACTGCTAAGAAAACCTTGACTGCCACTCATCTCCGAAAGAGCTAGTTTTCTTGCTTGGCTTCTTCCCAACCCCACTAGGGAAGACTCACTCACCTCTGTTTTCCGCAGCAACGTACACATCCGTCTACGGAGCCCGCTTCGTTGACCCTCAGTGGGAAATCGGATTCTAAAAGGTGAGACGCCTAAACTCTAGCGGGCGCCTGGCGCCTGGCTGGCTGACTTACCCTCACCAGGTGTCATGGAACCAGGAGGGATGCGGCGGCCACCCTCCCGAGAGCCGGGTGCAGCCTTCCTGCTCGCACCCTGGCGGATGGTGACACATCAAGCCCGACTGAACTCTTTTCCGCTCTCGAGTAAAGAAAGCGCAGCTGAGGGACGGAAGCTATGGGTATCGCCTATGCGGGTCACCTTATCCATGCCACACGACGAAAGTCCTCCGCGGAGGACCACAGCGGGAACGAGCTGGACACACACACGCACACACGTATACACATGCACACACACGTATACACACACGCACACACACAGCGGGAACGAGCTGTACACACACATACACGCTCACACACACATGCACACACGCACACACGCATGCACACACGTATACACATGCACACACACGTATACACACAGCGGGAACGAGCTGTACACACACACACGCTCACACACATGCACACACGTATACACACACATGCACACACGTATACACATAAAGGGAACGAGCTATACACACACGCGCTCACACACACATGCACACACGTATACACACACATGCACACACGTATACACACAACGGGAACGAGCTGTACACACACGCGCTCACACACACATGCACACACGTATACACACACGCACACACACGTATACACACACACGCTCACACACACACACGTATACAGACACACACACACACACAAACACACACACACACACACACAACTGTGTGCTCAGCCAAGGCCCGCTATGAAACCGCTCGAGCCGGACACGGCGCAGGGAAGGGAACACGGGCAGCGAGTTCGCGGCCCCGCCGGGGCGCGGAGGACGCGGGACTCACCGCGCGGCCGCTCTTCGGTGTACAAGTCGATGACCACGTCGCCCAGAGTGGTCTCCAGGAGAACCGCCATGGCGCCGGCTGCGCCTCAGGAACAAACCTCCCCCCGGCAATGACAGGCGTCGCCGGCGCGCGGCTGCGCCTTACGTCACTGGCTTGCGACGCGCGTGGCGTCATCTGGGGCGCCGTCGCTCAGCTTGGAAGCGCAACTTCCGGCGGTGGCCTGCAAGAAGGCGGGTTCGGCGCGTCCACTGATGTCCGGTGCGGGCTGTTGTGCCTGTGGGGTCTGTTTGAAGATTCTGCTTCGCCCTTGCTGACCGGGATAAAGGCCTGTGCCTCAAGACGGCCGTTCTGTAGGAATATCGTTTCCCTCCGAGAGCGGGGAGGCCCCCAGACCCGCGGCGGGGATTCCACAGTCTCTGGGCTCGCCTTCAAAGACTCCAGGCCGCAGGTGATCTGTTGCTGCGTGAGAGGTGACTAACAAGCTTTGGGGTTTGTTTTGTTTTTAATCTACTGTCGTATAGGTAGCCAAGGACTGTACGCGGTTTAGAAGCACAGGGAGTTATTTTTGAGAAGTTTCAGCATCCCGATAAGCCTCTCTGCCGATGCAGCAATCCAAATCAGACCAAATCAAACCGAGTTAGAAAAAGCCCACGTTTAAAGGATACAACGCCCACAGAGGCCTTCCAGCCCCGCAGAGAGGAGACGGCAAAGAGAAAATGGAAAACCACACGTCTATTTTCTGGGGGAGTGAGTCATCATTTGGCGGTTTTCTGAGATGCAGCAGGGTTTGGAGGGAGTCTTAGGTGGAACCTCCACCATAACATTCCAGATTCTTTGGGTATATGGATGCCAGGCGCTGGGGTGAAGCTTCCACCATAATTTTCCAGGCTCTTGTTTGTTTGTTTCGTTTGGTTTTTCGAGACAGGGTTTCTCTCTGGCTTTGGAGGCCGTCCTGGAACTCGCTCTTGTAGACCAGGCTGGTCTCGAACTCACAGAGATCCGCCTGCCTCTGCCTCCCGAGTGCTGGGATTAAAGGCGAGCGCTACCATTTTAATAGTTACTTATGGAGAGGGTGCCTGTGCAAGAAGCTGAGTGTGGTGGTCAGAGGACACCATCTGTGTCCTAGAAGTGGTTGTCAGGTCATCACGACCATCTGTCTGACCCTTAATTTTCTTATTAGAAACATTCTGGTGACATGCTTCCATAGGTTTCCTACATTCTTTTCTAGCCAAGCAAAATTTTCACTTTTATGTAGTTTTTAATATGTACTTGTGAAAATCAGAGACATGATTTGCCAGATCACAGGCATATCCAAGAAGATGGGGAGAAAGGGCTTTAAAGGTAAACTTTTTAAAAAATTGTGTTTGAAACAATTTCCGAGCTAGAAGTATTCACTAAACATGTGTGTTTTCTTATATTACACAGTAATTAGGAAATAGAAGTTCGCAAAGAGAAATTTATTTGAAAGTGTCTAATCCAAACCCCTGCACCTGTGGCCACCTTATAATTTAGAAAGTCATGGGAGAACGGCTAGAACGAGTGTAGATTTAACTGTTCAGGAGGTTAATCAGTCACTGGTTTACTTATGTCTCACTTACTAATGAAGCCAGATCAAAGCTATGGATTACAGGCATCGGAGAACTCCGTCACAAAGACGATATAATATATATTTGATATTATATATAATAATTCAATATAATTATAACAGAAAATTTCCCAAATCTGAGGAAAGAAAGAGGCATACCCAAGCTCAAGAGACTTCTGGAGCACCAAATAGGAACAGAAATTACCATAGCATTATGGTTAAAACACTGAATATATAAAACAAAGGTATATCAAGAGCTCATGAGAAAAAAAAATACACATACAAAAGCAAGCTCACTAGAATGATAGCTGTTTTCAATGGGAAGATTAAAAGTCCAAAAGGTGTGGAATGTATTGAGTTCTGAGAGACCATGCCTACCAGCCGAGACTACTATACCCAGGAAAACTATCTGATGGAGAAACAAAATCATTGTGTGATAAAAGAAGGCCAATAGAATTTATGACTACTAAGCCAGCTCTTTAGAGGATGTTGGGAGAGAAACTCTTCAGACTGTGCAGAATGATATACATTAAAGAAAGCAGGAGGGAAAGTAAAAGATGCTACAACAGTAGCTAAATGAGGATAAAGTCAACTAAGTGGCAGATTAATACACACCTTTTGTGAATATTCATTGTCTTAGTTGCCCAATCAAAAAGACTAGCAGATTTGTATTTTAAAGAAAGAGAATCCCTTTTTTGCTGCCTCCAGGCACCACACCACCATCAAAAATGTGACTTATTTATTAGCCGGCAGTGGCACACGTCTTTAATCCCAGTACTCGGGAGGCAGAGACTGGTGGATCTTTGAGTTCTAGGTCAGCTTGGTCTACAGAGCGAGTTCCAGGACAGGCTCCAAAGCCACACATAGAAACCCCGTCTTGGAAAAAAAAGAAAGAAAGAAAAAAAAAAAAAGAATAGCGCTTATCTTAGAGTGAAAGGATGGGGGAAAAGCTACTCAAAGCAAATGGAATTAAGAAACTAGTAGACATTGCTATTCTAATAGCTGAAAAAATAAACTTCAGACCAAAACTAATCAGAAGAGACAAAGGAAATCACTTTGTACTGAACAATTGTTCTAGACATTACAGTTCTAAACGCACTGAACAAAGATGAAGCCAGATTTAGAGATCAAACACTACTAGATACAAAATCATGGATTTAACCCCACAGTCACCAATAGACAGGTTATCTATGAAAAACAGAAACGTTGTGGTTAAATGGCATCATAGATGAAATGGGCTTAACAGATTAGAACATTCCATTCTACTTCAGGATACACTTCTCAGCAGCCTGTAAAACTTTCTCTAAAGTAGATAGAGGACACAAAGCAAGTCTGAACAAACACAGAAAAATTGAAATAACTTTGTATTCTATTTCATTACTATGGAATACAATCCAGCAAGCAACAGAAACGACAGAAAATTCACAAAGTAGAAATTAAAGCTATCAAATATGATGAGTCATTGAAGGAGAAATTAAGGATAAAGCATGCCAAAGCAGCCTTAAAAGGGACGGTGTATCTCTCTTCCAAGGCCCAGGGACACTGGGGAAGAAGGGAGCAGTGTGGAATGCTGTCTTCAGGGATAACATGGCTATAGCATTGCCAACGTCGCAGTAGCTGTTGAGTCCATAAACACTGTTATAAAAGGGAAGGGTTAACAGGGCTCCTCTTCTCCCTGCAGATTTATATATAGTTAATTATTGGAGCGACATTTTCCTCAATGGTGTAACCATGCCCTTGTAAACAAACCCATGTTTGTGTAAACTACTATAATAAAACTCATTGAACAGAAAAAGACTAAGTCATTTCTTTTTAAAGTCTTCTTGTTTTGGGGGGGGTCTGTGTGGCATGGCACACTTGTGTAGGCCAGAGGACAGTTTTGCAAAGACCTTTACATGGATTCTGGGTGTCACACTGTAATCACCAGGCATGGACAGCAAGTACTTTTGCCAGCTGAGCTATCTTGCTGGCCCTACAATATTATTTCTATTAGTCATTTATTTATGAGTATAGCATGTTATCACTGGATCTAATGAAATTCATTTGTAGCCAGGCATGGTAGTTCACACCTTTAATCTTAGTGCTTGAGGGGAAGAGGCAGGCCAATATGGTTTAAGAGAGTTCTAGATCAGCTAGAGCTACATAGTAAGACTCAAAAAAAAAAAACTTTCATTTGTAAGCACATGGACAATAAGGTTACAGTAAAAAGTTTTTAAATTTCTCAAAAAAATAAAATTTATAGTTAACTTTGAAAATTGCCTTAGATTGGGTACTGTTGCTATGATGAAACACGGTGACCAAAGCAAGTTGGAGAGGAAAGGGTTTACTTGGCTTATGCTTCTGAATCTGTAGTCTGTTACTGAAGGAACTCAGACAGGACAGAACGTGAGGCAGGAACTGATGCAGAGGCCATGGAAAGGGCGCTGCTTACTGCCTTGCTCCCTGGGCCTTGCTCAGCCTGTTTTCTTACAGACCCCAGGACCACCAGCCCAGGCATGGCACCACTCAACAATGGGCACCACTCAACAAATCACTCACTGAGAAAACTCCCCACAGATTTGCCTACGCCTCCTGTAGGTTTCTTTCTTGTTCTTCCTTGTTCTCTCCTGGGAGCCTTTGGGAAATTCAAAAATATGTAGTTGGCTAACTCTGGAAAACACGGGGTAATGTGTGTGTGGTACCAAAAGCCCCATGACTCACCCGTCCCAAAAATTGCAGTCCAACCCTGAGCAAGTCCCAGATTTCCCTTGAGTCTAAGCTTGCCTTGCATCACAGAAAATCACAGATTCAGATTTTGATTGTGAAAATGATGAAAACGACACTGAAATCAGTTGCTTAAGATACAGATGTGTCCACATTTGGGTTCAAAGGTTGACTTGTTTGTTTGTTTTTGGTGTTCTCTTTTGCAGCAAAAGGTTTTATTTTCGAGAAAGACTAAATAAGTTCCTTCTTACTCTACCTACCAGGCCGTATCTACAAATGCTTATCAACCAGTATACAGTCCTGTATTCAGAAAATTCCTTTCCTAGGGAAGCTGTGAACATCTACCTCCTACTTCTAAGATCCATGACAAACCAAAATTTAACTCCACTGAAGTTCACCCTGGAGAACCATTGAGTTTATTGAGTTCACACAAGTGACAGGTTACTGGTAGGAGTGTGGGTGACCCCAAAGCAGCAGTGGAAAAATCACCATCATGGCTGAGGGCTTCTTGATAGCCTCATAGCTGGAGCCCACTTCTCTTCCCCAGCCTGAACACTCCATCCAGCCCCTCCCTGAGGCTCAGTGCCATATGGCAGAATTGTTTTCCACCACGCCTAATGACCCGAGTTGCATCCCCATAGCCCACATGGTCCCAGCATGTTGTCTTCCCGCCTCCATATGAATTAAACCAGATACTTGGGAACATAAGGAAGCCCCAGTACTTCATAAAACTACTTCAGAAATTCTCATCTGTAGCCAAAGGTGGTGGCAACTGCTAAGTTAACATTTGGCTGTAATCTCAACACTCAGGAGGCAGAGGCAGGAGGATTGTTGAAAGTTGGATGCCAGCCTGGTATACATAGTATCTGAAGAAAAAAAATGTCCCCTCCAGATGTTAAATGTTTTATTTTTCATAACAGTTTATAAAATAGGTACTGTGTTTTCATTTTGTAAATGTATGAACATACTGGTGATACTAGTGGAAAAGTAATGGGATTGACGGGGTGAGAGGGTGTCACTTCTGTAACTCCAGCATGATCAGTAGTACAAGGCCAGCCTGGGCTGCATAAAATCCTTTTCAGAAAAGAAGAGAAAATAAAAACACCTCTCCAGAAATAATGGCATTGAAAAGAATTGCAGTCATTTTATGGGAACGCCAAGGGCCCTGTGGACTGTCCCAAACTTTTTCCCCCCATTTTTTAATTTAAATTAGAAACAAGCTTGTTTTAAATGTCAATCCCAGTTCCCTCTCCCTCCCCTCCTCCCTGCCCCCCACCGGCTCCCTATCCCATCCCCTTTCTGCTCCCCAGGGAGGGTGAGGCCTTCCATGGGGGGATCTTCAAAGTCTGTCACATCATTTGGAGCAGGGCCTAGGCCCTCTCCCGTGTGTCTAAGCTCAGAGAATATCCCTCTATGTGGAGTGGGCTCCCAAAGTCCATTCGTATACTAGGGATACCTACTGATCCACTACCAGAGGCCCCATAGATTAGCCAGACCTCCAAACTGACATCCTAGTTCACGGGGTCTAGAAGAGTCCTATGCTGGATTCCCAGCATCAGTCTGGGGTCCATGAACTCCCCCTTGTTCAGGTCAGCTGTTTCTGTGGATTTCCCCAGCCTGGCCTTCACCCCTTTGCTCATCACTCCTCCCTCTCTTCTCTGGGTTCGTTGAGTTCAGCTCAGTGTTCAGCTGTGAGTGTCTGCCTCTGCCTCCATCAGCTACTGGATGAAAGCTCTAGGGTGGTGTGTAAGAGAGTCATCAATCTCATTATCTGACAAGGGCATTTAAGGTAGCCTCTGGGGCTGCCCCAAACTTGACTCTGTCTCTGACGTGCAAAGGAATCCGGAGCTCAGCTAGCCTTACCCACTTGGGAGGAGTCCGCCCCGCCCCTCCCCAGGGCCCCGCCCCTCCTGGGTCTCCACGCCCTCACCTCCCGCCGCCCGGCGCCGGTGTTGTCCAAGATGGAGGGCGCCCTCTCGGTGCCGCTGCCAGTCCGGCTGCTGCTGTTGGTGGCGCTGCCAGCCGCGGGGTGGCTGACCAGCAGCACGCCCAGGCCGCCGTCCACAGCCCCGCAGGTAGGGCAGGGCGGGCGCTCCAGGCCGCTCCTCTGCGGACCTCCGGGAGGCCGGTCGCGGTGACGCTGTCCCCTCCCGTAGGCGGACAGGACGGGCAGGACAGGGTCTGGCGGCCCAGAGAGAAGGGGAGGCCCTCCGGGATGCCGGGCAGGGTGGGCCGCCCAAAGGAGAACGCGAGGGAGGCGCGCAGGCGCCCATGAACGTGTGGCCAAGCCTTCGGGCCCCGAACTTGCGATCGGTAGCGCTTCCCGAACTGTCGCAGGTCCTGCCCGGCTTTCCTGTCGAAAGTGCGCCGTGGCTGGTGACCTCGGGCGTTTGTAATGGTTGCTTCCTGGGCTAGAGCCCAGCTCTTGGGCCTGGCGATGTTTGTGTTGCCCAGTTAGCAGCTTTCCTGGCCACCTGCGACCAGGAGGGAGCGAGCGCCTTTCCCGGCCGCGGGGCCACTCGGGCTGGCGACGAGGAAGAGGCAGAAGACCTGGCGTTCGTTTCCCGGCGTGGCTTTTTATTGGATGTTAGTTGAGGGGTCTTTCCTGCTAATGGGTCACAGATGAGCATCAGCATCAGTGTGGAACCGGATTCAATCGTTCTGTGTCACAAGCCTTGCAGGTGACTACCTGGCTGACTCGGAGAACCATGGCTTTGCAATATTCAGAAGCAGCCCATTGTTACTTTTGTTGCCACGACTTTTGCCTTTCTTCATCTGTATGGTCGGAAGAAGTTTGGAGATTATAAAATTCGAGTCTTCCCCAAGTGACAGGAAACTTATGAGATTGAATACCTTACCACTTCGGTGGGAACACGCTAAATACAGAAGTAACTGACATGAGAAATGCCACTTTTTATTTTTAAAACTTTGCTTGTTCTGTTTGTATGATGTTGGATGGGGGACGTATGCCACAGAAATGGAGGTCAGAGGACCATCATGTGGAGTCGGTGTGCCCCGTGGTCATCGGTTTTGCAACAAGTGCATTTATAACCCTTGAATCATCTCTCCAGTCCATCATTTTCCTTTTAAATTTTAGAGTCATGTTGTAACTCCTCTGGGCACAGAAACCGTGCCACAGCGTCAGTTTGGACACATTCTGGATATTGCAACTAAAACACTTGTGTATGAAGTTGTACGTGAGCCACAGCTGCTTCTGGGTGACAATTGGAGCAATGGTTAATGGACAAGCACCAGGAACAAATACTGAGTGACTTTCAGGTTATGGAGATCTGGGCTTGTTTCCGCTCCTTTACACTTTTGAAAATTCTTCATCATCACTCACGAACCTAGGAAGCATTTCAACCTACCCACACAGTCAGAAAAAAAGAACCTTAGCTGCAAGGTTAAACCCACAGCATTGTGGGCTAGCTCCTAGTGATTTCACCATCTCCTCTCTCCCTTTTGGAAAGCAGGCAAAAACCCATATACATAAAATAAAAATGAAGGTTAAAAAATTTTTTTGAAGTTTTCAGAGGAAGAGCTGTGATCTGGATATGAATTTAATGTCAGATGAAAGAAATGGAATTCTCTTTTGGCAATGAAAACACTCCAGAGCATCAAAAAAGATTGGACTTGTGCATGGACACTCCACACTCACAAGTGTATGCTTGTGCGTGCCAGGGGTTGAGCCCAGGGCCCTGAACCTTCTCAGGCTCCACCGTTGAGGTGCGCCTCCATATCTGTAGAAAAAGAATTGAACTTGGTTCTTTGGGCGAAACGAAACAAAACACACCTGTGTCTTTGGTCTTTTATAGACCATGGCGTTGCTAAGCAGACCATAAGATGTAAATACAGTATGTCACTAAGTATGGTGTGTGTTTACCCCTGAAAAGCAGAAGCTATAAAAAGTTTCTCAAGGAAGGCCTTTTCTGGGCTCGTAGGAGAATGATGGCCTCCGATTAGCAGATCCTCCCATGACGAGTGAAGGCACCGTCAGAGGGCACCAGCTTCAGGAAACAGAAAGGAGAGCCGGTGCCCAGCTGTCTTTCTCCCTTTCTTTTTATATTCTGTCTAACCTGGTCCACTGTCTGGTCCTGCCCACACACTCAGGATGGATCTTAAACCTCTGGAGATGCCATCACAGACATACCCCGGTCTCATTGGTGGTTCTAAATCCACTGAGCCTAACAGTGAAGATTAACTATTACTGTCTCAAAATATAAAAAAAGGGCCAGGTTTGTGTGTGCTGTTGTGAGATGGCTCGGCAGGAAAAGTCACCTGCCACCGAGCCCCGCCCCCACTCCTGGGCGTAGCAGACCAGTTAGCTACATCTCCAGTCCTAATAGAAAAGCTATCCGTTAGCAGTCCCTGTGGCCAGTGGTGCTTTTCTACAAAAATGCCATCTGTAAGTAAGTATTTGGGCAGATGACTGCTGATGAGACCCTGAGCAGCAGCAAAAGCACCTGCCGCAGACATTCACCCCAGAGGTCTGCCTGAGCAGGGCCAGAGAGGATTTCCCAAGAACCCTCTGGGCATCCATGGGCAGTGGAACAGTAGATGACCTGCTGGTCCTTACACATCCTTGTGAACAACTGACTGTTGCTACACACAAGCGTCTTTAATGAAGGAAGGAAGTTCCAGGGAAACTACTCTGCTTTCTCTTACGCTCAGAAACAGATAAAGCTAAGCAGTGCATTGTTTAAGGAGATACAGCTAGTAAAATGTAAAGTTGTAGCCGGGCGTTGGTGGTGCACGCCTTTAATCCCAGCACTTGGGAGGCAGAGGCAGGCGGATCTCTGTGAGTTCGAGAAAAGCCTGGTCTACAAGAGCGAATTCCAGGACGGCCTCCAAAGCCACAAAGAAACCCTGTCTCGAAAGAAACCAAAAAAAAAAAAAAAATGTAAAGTTGTAGAGATCAGAACAGGGATTTCTTCTGTGGGTTGGGAGTAGTGGGCATGAGTAACATTCTCTACATAAACTCCAGCTCTCTGAGATCCAATGCCTCAAATATCTGAGAGCACCTGCACTCATGCCCACACACACTTAAGAGCACTACTGCTTTCCCAGAGGTCCTGAGTTCAATTCCCAGCAACTACATGGTGGCTCACAGCCATCTACAGTGAGATCTGGTGCCCTTTTTGGACCTGCAGGCATACATGCAGGTAGAACACTGCATGCAAAATGAATAAATCTTTAATAATAATAACAACAGAAGAAATGAAAAGGGGCTGGTTATTCTCTGGGTAAGTGATTCACCGAGTAAAAGCACAGCTGCCCATCTGAGTTTGATCCCCCGAACCCAAAGGTGCAAGGAGAGAATAGACTCCCAAAACTTGTCCTCTGACCTCAACACGTGTACCGTGGCAGATGTGTGCCTGCACTTGTGTACACATACAATAATAGCAAGTAAGGTCGAAAGAGCTGGGCTGCTTTCAATGTGTAAATGTTTCCCTACCCAACCTATGCATTTGTTTTACAGGATGGCATCAGAATTAATGTAACTACCCTGAGAGACAACGGGGAGGCGTCAAAAGAACAGGTTTGTCTCCCTCTGACTGTATTTTTAGTGTAATATTTAGCCAGGAATTTTTACTGATTGCAGTAGTCTATTTCCTGTTATTACAGTAAAATGCCTGAGGCAGGCTACTTTATGAAAAAGTAGCTATGTCAGGCTATCACTGACCTTGTTACGTACTTTGCTAATGAGGCTGGGAATAGCTGCTCATGCCTGTAATCCTAGCACTTTGGAGGCTGAAGAAGGCTTACCTCAAGTTAAAAGTCAGCCCAGACTTTTTAAGTAGTGAGACTGTCTCAAGAAACCAAAATATAATTGCTGGAAAGATGGATCAGTGGTTAAGAGCACTGGCTGCTCTTGCAGAATATCTGGGTTTGATTCCCAGCCCACCCACATGGCACCTCACAACTGTCTGTAACTGACCTGGACCAGTAGGTCATTCTTTGGTGACAGGGTCCTAAGGGGGATGAGAAGATAAAGAAGATAGAAAAGTTGGGGTCAGGAGGTCTGTCATAATCTGTCTTATGCCAGGCAAACTTACTAAGAAGTACAATATTGGGCGGAGGGTGGTGGCCCACACCTTTAACCCCAGTGCTCGGGAGGCAGAAGCAGATGGATCACTGAGGGTTTCAGGACAGCTAGGGCTGTCACATGGAGAAACTCTGTCTCGGAAAACAAAAAGAAGTACTGTATCGTGGGAAACAAACCAAGCAATGCTGCACTGCACAGGGGAGCACAGGATGTTTGAAGGGAGTCAGAGGGTAGGGCTGGGACTGATAACTCTAGCCCCTACAGTAGGAACAGCGGGGTTCTCAGGATGCGAAGCCATAGCTCTCCCAAGGCCCTGGCTCTGCTGAGCAAGCTTGTAGTTTAAAGGGCCATTGTTCCTTCTCCATACATCAGGGAAAGCCTTGGCTCAGCAGAGTCTTCAACATGTGACTGCACTTCCAGGGGACCTAGCAGCCCCTTTGCCTCGTAGGCACTACACACACATGGTATACAGACATGCATGCAAGCAAAGCATCTGTACAAATAAAATTTTAAAAAAAGGAAACCAAACTAAAGAAAAGGCTTTTGCTTTCCACTTAGTTACAGAGGTGCAAGGACATATTGCTGGCATTAGTTTGTCTTTGGTCTCGTGACAAATGGTACCACAGTGATAGGAGCTTTACATGAGACAAAAGTGTACATTGCCAGATACCAAATAGGAGAGGGCTGGAGTCCCACAGGTCCTGTGAAGACACTGCCCCAGAGACTACACATCTGCCGCCAAGGCTTGTATCTTAGCGGTGCCCACCTGAACATCACACTGAGAGACTAAGCACATGAATTCTTGAGGGACAAAACGTATGTAAGCTAACTGTCACACCTGCCACACATAGTTAGGAAATGTATTTTTGGCATGAAGAGTTTGTTGTCGTTTATAAACTGTTGGAATTAATATGTGCTGCTTTATTTTAAGGTTGTTCTTAACATAACCTATGAGAACGGACAGGTATATGTAAATGACTTGCCTGTAAATAGTGGTGTAACTCGAATAAGCTGTCAGACTTTGATAGGTGAGTACGACTAATTGTTTCCAACATTGCTTTGACTGTAATAATACTAAGTTAGTACTGAATTGCTACTGCTCCACCTTAAAGTGATAGGTTATTTCTATAATGGTAGAAATAATAGTTTAAACTAAGGCGTTTAAACTGTTGATTGTTGATATACTGTTTTGCTTGTTCTTTCATGAGACTGGCATTTGTTTCCAGTAGGTTAACAGTGTAAGAGTGGGCATCCATGTGGGCTAGCAAGAGCTCAAATCCTGGAGAGGTTCTTAGCACAATTGTAGAAAATGAACTCATTAGTTATGTGTATGGGTCCTACTTTATTTCTTTACTCATCTGCCAACAGAATGTTCTTTTTTAAGATTCATTTTGTCTTTATGTGTATGGTGTCTCGTCTGCATGTGTATCTGTGCAGCACTTGTGTGTCTGGTGACTAAGGAGGCCAGAAGAGGGTGTTGGACCCCCGGAAGTGGAGTGGTCGGCAGTTGTGAGCTGCCATGTGGGCTCTGAGAACTGGTCCCAGGTACTGTCTCTTCAGGCCCTGTTTTTCTTTTTAAACTTTAAGGTTATTTAAAGTGACAGATAATATTATGTTGGGATACACTATTTTATTTGAATAAAATAAAGAATATGGGAGGTGTCACTCGTGTTCTGTGAGCAGCAGTGACTGGGCCCAGCTGGCACTGGGGTAGGCATTGAGCAAGGGTATTCATGCCTGTCAGCAAGCATCGTTGAGGGCATTCTTTGAAAGCTGACTACTGTGGTGAGGAGGGGTTTTTGTTGTTTTTTTAATTTATCTGGCAGTAGGGGTGTGAGGGACTAAAGAGTTACCACTCTGATGTATTTAAAACTGTGCTGTAGGCTTAGACATGCTGAATGGGCATGGATACTAGTGTGTAAACAGGCAATTGAAACACTGATTTATTAAACCAGGCACTGTAGTGATTGAACTTGTATTTCCATAGTCCCGGCTACTGGGGCGCCTGAGGTGGGAGAAGCAAGAGTCCTTGGGTTTGACGAAGTCTGGAGACACGGTGAAGGCAGATGCTAACCTCCCACTCCGGCTCACAACGGTTTTTAAGGTGCTGGAGCTATAGCTCCATGGTAGGACATTTGTCGAGCAAATGGACAGCCCTGGGTTCCATTCACAGCACCACAGTAAGCATAATAAACCACTTAGCAATAAAATGGCGTATTTAAGCCACAGATAGTAAAGAACACAGGGAGTTATGCATGGTACAGGAGCAGAGCCCATGCCAGGTGCCTCTGAAGGAGAGCTAGTTGACAGTGCCAGAGAACTAGGCGTTAGTCAGAGTTACACCATGGGGCCATGTTCTGGCCAGAGCCCAAGGAAGAGACTATGCTATAACTAACTATGATAGTTAAATGGCCAGTGAACTGGGTATCAGCTGTTCTGGGTCAAAGGACTAGCCCTTAAACTCACAATGAGTTTAAGCCACTGGACCTACATTTAGAATGTGTGTGTGTGTCCTTGACAAATGAGTCCTTATATTTGGGAGACAGCAACTAAATGCTCATCTTGTGGCAAATTGATTGGTGTGTGTCACTTTAAAAAATGTTTTCAAGTTAATTTTATGTGTGTGCAGGTGCCTACAGTGGCTAGAAGGGGACATGTGGCCCCCTTAGAGCTAGGTTAGGCCACCTGCTGTGAGGGCTGGGTTCTGAGCTCGGATCCTCCAAGGGAGTAGTAGTTGCTCCCTTAATGGCTGCACCAACTCTCGAGCCCTTAACACACTTTTGTGAGACAGTTTTGATGTGTGGCTTAGGCTGGCCTTGAACTGCCTCAGCTGCCCAAGTGCTAGGATTCTAGGCATGCACCACTGTTCCTGGCTGTGTTATTTTACATTTTGTCTTTAATTTTGAGACTTTCATACATGTACACAATAAAATATGGTCATACCTTCCCCATTACCATGATGGAGGGATTCTAGACCCCTCCTGTCCTCTTCCTACTCCTATCCTCTCTAACTATGAAAAATCACCTACTGGGTGCAAAGGATGGAGAACATTAAAAAAAAAAAAAAGACGAAAAGTCCGAAGTAAAGCCACACGGTTTGTATGTGGGTTCTTTTCTCACTGACTGGACTCCGGGGTGAACACGTGACGGCTTACTTTGTGACCGCGGGGCTGACTCTTGTGGCTTGCTTTCTGTCTGTGCTGTGTCACTCTTCACTGGCAGCCAATATGAATCCAAAGCAGAGCTCTGCCACTGTGGCTTGTGTGGCGTATTCAGACTGCAGACCAGAAGCATTTCCTTTTCTGATGAGTGGGAGCCACTGGGAGGCCTTGCCAGCTCATCTCTGCTTTTATAAACCTGGGACTGTTAAGGTCAAGGAAGAAGGACGCCAATAAAACGTGTTTGCTGCTGTCTTGTTCCAAGTAAATCTCATAGAAATCATCAACTACAGTAACAGCTTTGATGGTAATTTTTGTCCAAAATCTCACTGCTTTTTTTTTTTTTTAATAAATAGTGAAGAGTGAAAATCTGGAAAATTTGGAGGAGAAAGAACATTTTGGAATTGTCACTGTAAGGATCTTAGTTCATGAGTGGCCTATGACATCTGGTTCCAGTTCACAACTAATTGTTATTCAAGAAGAGGTGGTAGAGATTGATGGAAGACAAGTGAGATGATATGCTTGTTAATGGGGTAAATTTGTGCTGTGTGTACAGGTATTGAGTGGTTTTATTTCTGACTCGATGAGGAAGAAGCTTACTTTTCTGTTATGTGAGGAGATTCCACACGGTAACCAAGGCATCTTATAGAAGAAAGCATTTCATTGGGGCTTGCTGATAGTTTCAGAGGGTTAGTCCATTATCATCCTGGTGGTGAGCGTGGCAGTAGGCAGACAGGCATGGTGCTAGGGAAGTAGGTGAGAGCTATCTCCTAACTAGAGTAGTTAAGAGCTATGTCCTAACTAGAGAAGTAGTTGAGAGCTATGTCCTAACTAGAGTAGTTAAGAGCTATGTCCTAACTAGAGAAGTAGTTGAGAGCTATGTCCTAACTAGAGTAGGTGAGAGCTATGTCCTAACTAGGGAAGTAGTTGAGAGCTATGTCCTAACTAGAGAAGAAGTTGAGAGCTATGTCCTAACTAGAGTAGGTGAGAGCTATGTCCTAACTAGGGAAGTAGTTGAGAGCTATATCCTAATCTGCAGGTGGTGGTGGGGAGGAGGAGGAGGAGACTGGGTCTCAGAACACACATCCAGTGGCATACTTCCAACAAGGCCACACCTCCAGTTCCACTACCTGGGGACCAATCATTTAATGAATGAACTTGTGGGGGTCATTCTCATTAAAGCCACCACAGTACCCTAGAATTGTCTGGATTTAATCATACAGCATTTCTGTTATTTTTGCATTTTACATTTAATAATCTCACTTATACCTTTATATCATTTAAAATGTGATGAGCATCAGCAAACAGAAAGCGAAGGGACTCGATTGTGTTCATAGTTCTGTTGCTGTTTCCTCGGCCGTGTGAATGAAACTACATTGTTGGTGCAAATGCCTCAGAATAGGAATGGGAGGGAGGAAGGAGCCGTTGGCTGCATGCTCTTTAGTTGTAGAAATCAAGGAGGGAGTTCACTTTGAAACTCTAAAGCATTATTTAAGGTAAAAGGTACTTATTTTTTCTTTCGTAGGCTCAACAAAAGGATGTGATTGAAATTAACATTTTAGTTAAGAACCAGAGAATACTCAGACAATCAAACTTTTCCCTTCCTGTGGAAGAAAGCATGATTTATTCTCTTTCCCAAAACAGTGACATTCTATTTACCCTTCCCAACTTTTCTAAAAAAGGTAATTTAAAAGACAATTATTTAAAATATCAATGAAATTATTTTGTCTTATATGCCTTTTTGTTTGTTTGTTTTCTCAAGACAGGTTTCTCTGTAGCCCTGGCTGTCTTGGAACTCACTCTGTAGACCAGGCTGGCCTCAAACTCAGAGATAACCACCTGCCTCTGCCTACTGAGTGCTGGGATTAAAGGCGTGAGCCACTGCCAAGCTTACCTTATATACTTAAAAAAGATTTTTATTTGTGTGTGTGTGTGTGTGTGTGTGTGTGTGTGTGTATACTTTTGGAGACCATAAAAGATGGGTGCTGGGAACGGAACTTGTCTCCTCTGGAAGAGCAGCTGACGCTCTAACCAAGGCCAGCCCTCTAGGCCCCTGTATGCTCTTAAGCATTTTTGTAATTACTTATAATTGCTACTATATGTCTTTACTTACTTAATGTATTTGGAAATAAGCTTCTTTTTTTTTTTTTTTTTTTTTTTTTTGGTTTTTCGAGACAGGGTTTCTCTGTGGCTTTGGAAGCTGTCCTGGAACTTACTTTGTAGACCAGGCTGGCCTCAAACTCACAGAGATCTGCCTGCCTCTGCCTCCCGAGTGCTGGGATTAAAGGCGTGCGCCACCAACGCCCGGCTGGAAATAGGCTTCTTTTAAAAAGTACTTTGAGAGTGGAACCAAAGCAGAATTTTACATTTTTGTTGTTTTTTTAAGACACGGTTTCTCTGTGTAGCTCGGCTGTCCTGGAACTCACTCTGTTGACCACTACACCATGTAGAACTTTTACATTTTATTGTCCTTCCCCCCCCCCCCCCTCCCGTCTCCTCCCCTCCCTCCCTCCTTCCTTTCTGTCTTTCTTTTGACAGGTTTTACCCTGTAGCCCAGCCTGGTCTGTAATGTAGTCCAGGGTAGACAAGGGTAGCCTTAACTTTGTTCTTCTCCTGCTTCACAAGTGCTTGGGTTACAGGAATGTGCCGTGTCTGGCAGAACTGAAAATTTACTTTATGTACGACAAAACCGTAACTTCTGTAGCCCCTTATAGTGGTCTGAGTGTTTCTTCTGACGTAAATGAAACTCTTGTTCTCTCATGGTGAAACATACGTAGGATAGTAATGGCAAATATTACTGGTGTTCTCTTTTAGAGCTTGCAGAGGACGCCGGCGTGCTGCTAGCATTTTGATAACTCTGTTCTCCCCCTCTTCAGTAGGAAGTGTTACTTCATTGCAGACCACCAGCCATTACCTCATGGGGAGCGTGGAAACCGCTGTGGAGGGAAATGCTTTACCTGGCAAATTGCCTGAGACTCCTCTCAGAGCAGAGCCTCCATCTTCATACAAGGTAAATCTAATACTTGGTGTTACCTATTTCTCTTTGAGAAAGGCTTTCTCTGTGAAACAGTCCTGGTTGTCTTGGAACTCACTTGGTAAACCAGGCTGGCCTTGAACTCACAGAGATCCTCCTGCCTCTGCCTCCCAAGTGCTGGGAGTAAAGGCATGCACCACCACTGCCTGACCTTGGTGTTTGTTATCTTTATGTGGTATTACCATAGCAGTTATGTTTATGGTGAAGAACATAAATGTGTCCTTAAAATGAAGCAGAAACCATAAAGATTAAAATAGCGGATCATTTTTTAGTGATGGACACATTATAGTTTTTTTTTCTTTTTTTCCCCCCCAGTTTGTAGCCTAGGCTAACCTCCAACTCATAATGATCTTCCTGTCTCCATCTCCTGAGTGCTGGTACTATAGGTGTAAGTCACCACCCCAGCTCACTCTGGGTTGGGAGTTTTTGTTGTTGTTGTTGGAACGTCTGTTCTCCCCTGTGTGTGACTGTGCATGCACGTGCCAGAGGACAACTCTCAGGAGTTGATTCTCTACTTTCCCCATGTGGTCCCAAGTTATGAGGCTTGGCCACAAGTTACTCACTGAGCTACCTTGCTGGACGTTATCTTAATCTTAATGTGGTATTCAAGGTGTTCCTATTATCTTCTATAAACTGCATTTAACGATAGAGTCAGATCATGATTATCAAGGCCCTGGTTATCATTTGGTTGGGAATCTCCAGTTCCACAGTTCCTTCTCAAATCTCCTTTCAGCTCTCACCTTGTATAGGCACAGACGGCGTGCACCCTCAAGGTCCTACACAGTGACTGGGTGTGGATTGAAGTCCGCTCTGCCTGTTTCTAGTTCTCTAACATTGGGTCAGTTGCTAACCTCGCCTGTATCTCCGGTTAACCTATACCCAGGCTATCAGGTACTGTAGAATATCCCATCAAGGTGTGAGGAATCAGAGGGATATTCCAGTGAAACCACGCTGATGTCTACTGGGAACATCTGTGTTACACTCCATCTATAGATACAGTTCTGAGAGTAGCCTAATGTGCCTGCTCCCAAATGGGGCTGGTCTGTGCAAGTAATTCTCACTAACAGTCAGATTGTTGACTTGGGGTTGCTGGAGTCTTGATTAGTTGGACAGCTTGCACTGTGGCATCTCCAGCCCCGCCCCTCCCCCTCCTCAGAGGAGACTATCTTCCTAGGCCGCATCATCAGTGCCCATATTTGGTTCCCTTCTTGCTCCTTAAGCTTGCAGCATTTCTAGAGCAGTGGGCCTTCCCTGGTCTAAAAGCTGTGGAGTTTGTTTCTTCCTCTCATCCTCTACACTGGGCAGTTCTCACTAGTCTTTCAGCATTAATATTCCCTTCATTTGTAGTTAGACACAGGATAAATAATTTTTGCACCTGTGTCTTGGGAACATAATTTTTAAGATTATAAAAATTTTATTTAGGTAAATTTTAAAATAAAATTTTATTGTCATGTTACATATATCCCGCAGTCACTCCATCCCATCACTGTGGAACTAGGGGAAAATATTCATTTTTGAACTATTTACCCCAAACCAGGCTTCTTTATTTTTTATTTTATTTTTTGAGTTAACTTTGATACATGTAATACTATTATAATCAATATACAAGTTGTTTCTGTCACCCAAACCCAAAACTTTAAGAAATTTTGCCAGACATGGTGGCGCATGCCTTTAATCCCAGCGCTTGGGAAGCAGAGGCAGGTGGATCTCTGTGAGTTTGAGGCTAGCCTGGTCTACATAGTGAGTTCTAAGCCAGCCAGGGCTACAGAGGAAGACCCCATCTCAAAGGAAGATAGAAATTTTAAATTTGAGTTTATGGAACTGGCCTTTCTGACCAAAACCCTCTTCCCAGGTAATGTGCCAGTGGATGGAAAAGCTCAGGAGAGCGCTCTGTCATCTCTGGGGCAGTGTGTTCCCAGTGCTCTTCATGTTTCTGAACGTCATGCTGGTTGGAGTTTTGGGTGCAGCAGGAGTCATAGCCATGTTAAAGGTGCTTTGCCCAGCTTATGAGAACAAGTAAGTGCTTCATGTTTCTGAGACATTATTAATCTTAACTATTCAAAAGTAAGTTATAGTGGTGGTGCACACCTTTAATCCCAGCATTCGGGAGGCAAAGACAGGTAGATCTCTTTGAGTTCAAGGCCAGCCTGGTCTACAGAGTGCGTTTCAGGACAGCCAGGGCTACACAGAGAAACCTTGTCTTATGGGGGGTTAGTTATATTCACTGTATTTTATATATTACAAAGTATAAAATTAGGTAGGACAATGGGAGGACAAAACACCCATTTTCCAATTGTAATGGAATTAAAATAAATTTATGTATCACTTGCGACTACAATACTTTGGGAGAGTCAGCCATGATGAGAAATGTTAAGTCTCCGTGGGAACATGGGGAACACTGCACGTGTAGAGTCATGAAGTTATGCTGCTGAATAGCCAAGAAAGGGTTAAAGTGGTCACAGAATTCTGAAGGCAAGAGGCAGAGAGCCTGTAGAGGTGCAGTCACTGCCCGCTGTGATATTAGCACAGTCTGTTATCCATTCAGACACTGACTGGGCTGCTAAAGTAGGCTCTAGGCACAGTGACCCTGCTAATGACAGTTCCAGTAGGTCTTGTGAGGCAGGAACACGTATGGAACATTAGCCACCTGTTAATGCTGGTGGCCTGATGACTGCTCAGTTTATGGGTGCTGCCATACTCCAGTATTAAGTACCTGCTCATTTTGTTGCTTGGTTTGGGTGTTTCTAGATGGGCCTTCATATATAGGCCAGGCTGGCTCTGAATTCATAAATGGCTCCAGCCTGTGCCCCCGAGTATGGGGATTCCAAGTGTGGGCTTTTATGTGACACAGTGAGGGGATTTCATCATCCAAGGATTCTGGTGTGCTTTGTGACTTCACTGGCCTGGTTTCTCTTAAGAGTTTGTAAGCCCCTGTGCTTCTGATGTGCAAAGTCAGGAGCTAGTAAACTCATTTAATTCAGTCATCGGCCTTTGCCTCATCCCTGTGCTCAACAGCTGGCGGTGACTGAGTTGTAAGAGCAAGGCAGTCATGAGCATCATCACTTGCACCCAAAATGAAGGAAACTGTTGCATCAAATAATAAAATGGCACATGAAACTTGAAAACTGCTGTTGTATGCCATACAGTCTAGCTTAGAGCAGCACAGTCTGATCACCACATGTACAATCAGCTTGTTTTTTTTTTTAAAAAGCTGCCCGGGCTTTCCTTCACCAACTGATAGCAGTCTAGCGGTGTGAGAGCTCTTGCCCTGAAGACATACACTCTCCTTCCTGTAGGACCAGGCAATGATCTCTGTTCCTTTCTAGTCACTCAGCGTGTTTGGTTATAAGCCATGAGAGGAAAGGTGGACCGTAACCTCCAAGTGTGACTTATCTTGTATTTCAGAGGAATTCTTCAGGTGGATGAAATGAATGCCTTATCTGTGGTACCTATCATCTTATATCCAGATGGTTCTGAGAAAACAGAAGAAAAACTTAAAGATAAAACGAGTATTTAAAACAGCATCTCCAATCATGGACTCTGAATTAGTCTATTGTCTCCAGACTTGCCATTTGAATACCATTTTATTTAAATCATTAATCAGTTTATACATAGAAATTGTCAAATTCCTAAGGCTGTCTGAAAACTGACCTTTACTGTGCCAAGTTAGAGATCACCTCGTTCCACACATGGGTTGGCTGTTCAGGAGACGAATTATTAAGGGAAATTTAAGTGGAAAAATATGTGACTTTGAAATAACCAGAATGAAAAAAGGTGAAACAGAACACCCAAGTGCCATAAGCTTCCAAGTGCCTTTGCTGCAGAAACTATCTGTTGATTAGTATTGTAAGGTTTTATAAGAAGCACTTTATGAAATTGCAATTTAAAAGCTGAAGAATTTAACACTTTTTTACTCAGTACAATGTGCCTTTATATCACACAGGACTCAGTATGAAATCACATAAGTGTATCATGTCTGTGTTTGTGCCAAAACCGCTTACCTTGACTGTACCAGGATTTAAAGAGACATGTTTGCACTCTAAATAAACTTTTTTTTTAAAGAATTGCTTTTTTTAAATTTATCTGTATGGGGAGGTGCTAAGCTATGTGTACATGAGTACAAATGACTGTTGAGGCCAAAAGAAGGCATTGGATCCCTGCAGCTGGAGTTATCAGCTGCCTGATGGTTGTCAGCTGCCTGATGTGGGGCACTGGAAACCAAACGAGTGGCCTGGATGAGCAGGAAGCATTTTAGCCAGTTATCTCTAGCTCCCCTCCCTTCATTAAAGGGACAAAAGTATAGCTGCTTGGGTTAAGTTTACCTAAGTGAGCAGCACTCACTGTATAGTGGTGTGGTACAGCTTATGTGACTGAATGTGCAGTTACCTTTCAAAGAAGCTGTCATCTTCATGGAATTAAGCCTTAGCCTTCCTTCTGGTTGTAAGGAGAGTACTGTGTATAAAAGCTTGTTTCATCATGTTTGTAGTGGTCATTCAGAGTACACACAGCTTACTCCATGTAGTTTTTGTTCTTTTTCATTAAGAGTTTTGAAAGGCAGAGATGGTAGAGCACATCAGTGAGACTCTGTCTCAGGTTTTTAGTTGTAATCCATTCTAAAAACATGGCCCAAGCTTGATGCTTTGCTTTTTTTTTTTTTTCTTTCTACCAATAGTAGGAACTTGAACCCATGAATGCCAGGAAGGGACTATACTACTGAGCTACAGCTCCAAGCCCTAGAGAGAGGAGAGGAAGGAGGATGACAAGTATGACAGTGAAGTTTAATCTTGTCTAGTTTTTGTATTTTAGGCAGTCCAGGCTGGTCTCAGACTTAACTAGTACTTAAGCATGACCTCACTCTTGCATTCTCCTACATGATGGCATGTAACACCATGTTTGGTTGTATGCAGAGTCAGGGACCAAACCTGAGGCTTCATGCAAGCTAGACAAGAACCCTAACAATGAGCTAAATCCCTAGTCCTAACTGGATTGTTTTAATTAATTTTGATGTGTGTGTGTATGTGTGTGTGTACACGTATGTGCATGTGTTCTGGGTATGTGCACATCCATGCAAGTTCAAGGATCCCAGAGCCACTGTATCCCCTTGAAGCTTTTTCAAGAGCAGTATGCACTGAGCCATCTCTCCAGCCCCAAGAGTCCCATTCCTACCCCGACAGAAAGGGAAGAGAAGCTACATGACAGCAGAGGAGAGGGAAGACACACGAATCTGGCTATGCTTTAGTTAGCTGCAGTATAAGAGTGTTTACTAGCTATCAATTATTACCATAGAATAGCAAAGAGAGGGGGAGAGATGTACTTAGCAGAAATCAAGCAGTGCTAAATTAAAACAAGGTGCAGCTTAAAAACAATGCCTTTATTCAGAACCAGAAAGAATTTAAAAATCACACCATTATGAAAGTTTAAAAAAATATAGCACTCAGTTCAATGAAATACTACATTTAATTTTTCTCAAAGACTTAAGGCCGATTTCTCACAGTTTACATGTGAGAAGTTAGTTAGCATGATCCAAACTCAACTATCCATTTCTCATATCTTTCAATATCTGCAGCTGATACCGACTTAGAAACCTTCTTTAAAGCCATTTCAAAATCCTCCATGGTGGTAGGCATATGCATTTCTTCTCTTGAAAGGTTTCGGATTTCTTCTGGAGTTAAACCCTCAATGCGCCTTCTCATGGCCATCAAGGATGCATCCCTAGGTTTTAAGGTTTAAAAAGTCCAGTGTTACTTTAATTGAATTTAAAAAAAAACCTGCCAAACTCTCTAAGATCTCACATATATTATATACATATATTAATATTGCATTGTAGCAGGGCGGTGGTGGCGTCACGCCTTTAGTCCCAGCACTTGGAAGGCAGAGGCAGGCGGATCTCTGTGAGTTGAGACAAGCATGATCTACAAGAGCTAGTTCCAGGACAGCCTCCAAAGCCACTGAGAAACCCTGTCTCAAAAACCAAAAATAAAAAAAATATATATATTGCATTGCACCTCTCATTGGAAAACAAGGTCTGCTTTTAGTTGTTTTTTAGCAGTCAAATCTCCATAATGAAATAAGTATACTAATTCAAGTAATAAATGCTGAATATACAGTCCAAGATAAAGTAAAAAGATATAATAAAGAAGTTTGCAATTGTATCTCCTTATGTTCAATAAAGAATAAGTATTTACCACAGAGACAGAAAGGAATGTTAGATAGAAAATTAAACATTTTCGTGATTATGGTATCTTCCCTGCCAGGTAACAGCTCTTGGACCCCAGACTGATAGCTGGGAGGCTAGTAAGGGACTGATCCAGACCCCCTGAATGTGGATGTCAGTGAGGAGGCCTAGGAAATCTATGGGACCTTAGGTAGTATTTATCCCTGGCATACAAATGGACTTTGGCTGTCCATCCCACAGTGAGGAATGCTCACTCTCAGCCTGGATTCTTGGGAGAGGGCCTAGGCCCTGCCTGAATGAAATGACGGACTCTGGAGATCCTCCATGGAGGGCCTCACCTTCCCTGGGGATCAGAGTGGGTAATGGGTGAGGGGCTGGGGGGGCCTAATGGGAGGCGGGGGAGGAGGGAAGGGAGAGGGAGCTGGTATTGGCATGTGAAGCAAACTTGTTTTTAATTTAAATTAAAAAAAAAAAAAAGAAAATTAAACATTTTCTCCATATAAGGAAAATCAGGCCAGGCACATTTTCCCTTTCCCTTCTATTACAAAAACTTCACATCAAGAATGTCTTTTATGAGCTGGACAGTGGTGACCCACATGGAGGCAGCCTGGTCTACAGAGTGAGTTCCAGGGCAGCCAGGAACCTTAAACTGGCTGTGTAGCTACGGATGACCTTGTACCGTGATTCTCCTGCCTCCATGCCCTGATGCCAGGGTTATAGTCCTGCACTACCACATCTCAGCACCATGTGGATCCAGGACCAAATCCAGGGCTTCATTCAAGTAAGCAAGTATTCTGCCTAAGCCACACACCCAGTTCATGTCATTTTAATTTCTTCTCTGACCAAGTTCATCCTTACCTGAAGTCACCAAGTGTGCACAGAGACAGTAACTTCATTTGTATACATAACCTTTGACCCACATGTGCTCACTTAGCAATGAGGAAGCTAGTGCAGTCAAGCCCCTGAGACTGATCAGGGCCACACCTTGTTAAGTCACATTTAGGACCCAGTGACTAAAACAAGACTATAGTATTACGTATCCTGTGATGAGTACATTAATACACCGGTCATTTCCCACCTAACACTGCAGGGAAGCTATGCTTCTTGAACTTACAGCTTTCAAATAAACTATGGGCCATCAAATGCAGATACCTTGCCAACACCTGTTACCTCTAACTCTAACCATAAATTGTAACTGTAACCATAAATATATTGTAGTGTGGGGTGGGGAGTCGGGATAAAACTCAGGGCTGGTACATGCTAGGCAAACACTCTATAAATGAACTTTATCTCCTGGCCAGTGTAGGTCATTTACCTTAATATAAACACTTTAAAATGGAAGTGTATGCTTACAGAAATGAAAGAAATACACACCTGCATACATTGGTAATGTCGGCACCCGAGTAACCTTCCATGTTTTCTGCTATGCTTGCAAGGTTAACATCATCAGCCAACTCCAGCTCTCGAAGACTTATTCTTAACAGTTCTTCCCTACCTTTTGCTAATGGGAGAAACATTTTAAAATGTAAGCCTTCAATGGGAATAGAATAGTGTTGATTTTACTCAAGCAAACGCCTCAAGCCCAGGAAGTATTAGGAATTGTTTTCCAACTCCTGGAGCAAATGTGTTTATCATGATATCAAGGCTTCTAGATTTTGGATGTAGCCAAACAGTCACACAGGAAAGAGCAGACATTTGCCTACTCGAGGAAGGCTAATATTGATTTTAAAGTATAAAATCTACTTGAGCCAGGCGGTGGTGGCGCACGCCTTTAATCCCAGCACTCGGGAGGCAGAGGCAGGTGGATCTCTGTGAGTTTAAGACCAGCCTGGTCTACAAGAGCTAGCTCCAGGACAGGTTCCAAAGCAAAACAGAGAAACCCTGTCTCAGGGGAAAAAAAAGTCTACTTGATAATTGGAACTCTCAGAAAAGAGATACCTGATGGTAAAGGAATGTAGATTCTTTTCTCAAGACGCCGTCGTAAAGCCTCATCTATATCCCAGGGGAAATTTGTAGCTGCCAGAACCATAACCATTTTGGAAGGGTCATCGTTTTCTGAGGCGCCTCCAACACCTAAAAAGGTAGGAAAATAAAAGTTTCGGAGTAAGACCTATGAATAAAACTCAGTTCTTTACAGACCGAAATCTTACACAATGATGCAAGCAGTATAGTTTCCCAGCACCCCTAAGACAACTGTGAGAATGTGACCCAAGCAAACAAACAAAAAAAACTATCAGGCTGGAGAGATACCTCAGTGGTTAAGAGCACTGGTTGCTTTTCCAGAGGACCTGAGTTCAATTCCCAGCACCCCCCTCTCTCTCTCTCTCTCTCTCTCTCTCCCTCCCTCCCTCCCTCCCTCCCTCCCTCCCTCCCTCCCTCCCTCCCTCTCTCTCTCTCTCTCTCTCTCTCTCTCTCTCTCATGCCATCCATTCAAGAACATCCATGTACCACTACTCATCTCTATGCCCCTCCCATCTTTCTGGAGTTCTGACACAAACTGAATGTGCTGGACTAGCACTACAAACAGCTTGACGACTGGAGGAGCACACACACAGCCAGCTCCCACCCCAGGTCAATCTATGTACCATCCATTTGAACCAGCAGCTCAGCTTTCACCCTTCGGCTTGCTTCATGCTCTTCAGAAGTCCCTCGACGACTACAAATGGAATCTATCTCATCAATAAATATGGTAGCTGGAGAGTAAAATCGAGCCTAAAGGAAGAAACCAAGCAATACCAGGTTTTAGGGTTTTGATTCTGAGGCTGGGAATACAACCTCATGATACAGTGCTTGCCTAGTATGGTTAAGGCTCAGTGTCACTGAAATAAACATTTACACATTAGGAACTGGGAAACATGAGGCTGAATGACAGCTTAAGAGCACTTGCTG